GGCCTATTTTGTGCATAGTTATTTCCTGTTTTTTGTCTGTACATTTGACAGCTTTGCTGCCTTGTTAAAATGTTCATGTTATGGTCATTGTTCACTTATTTTGAACAAAATAAGGTCAGATCTTTGATTCATTATTATTAAAATATTTAATTTGTGATTGATTCAGACTGATTAGTTTTGAAAAAGGTTAAAAGTTTAGCATTTGCATTTTTTTGAGTGAACTTACTATGTTATTGATATTACTGTTGTGACACTTTCAGCTTGAAGGACAAATTGTTGCAGTGTTAGTTCAAAATCTGGAAAGGTTAGATGAATCAAATAAAGAAGAATCTGAAGGTGTACACAATACATTAGGTAGGTGTAAACAAAAGAAAATATTTTAAATAACAGTGCTGTTGGGTGTAATTAAACAGAGGTAGTAACTGTTGTAAAGTATCTGTGGGTAACAAGTGAAGAAAAACTTTGTCTCAAAAGTGAGTCGCTTTCTCTAATTTAAACTACATTATTAAAAGTAGTTCTTTGAACCAATTTCTGTACTGTTTACATTGGACAACATATCGGCTTAACACAGGCCTGTAGCCAGCAAATTCAAAAGGGGTGTTCTTTTTTCTGAAAAGTGGACTTCATATAATAATGAAACCTTTGTGTACCTAGATCAAATTATGCCCAAAATGGACTTTTTTCTGACGAAAAGGGCGGTTCTTTCGAACCCCCGCACTCTCCCTGGCTACAGGCCTGTAACATTATGTGTATGATTTCTGTATTAATATACTAGTCTGTATATTTAACATTATTTTGGACACCAGCATTTTGGCTTCTGATTATTAACTTAAAGTGTATATTACCATCTATTATTATGAAGGAATTATAGAAAATATCACAGAGTTCAGACCAGAGGTGTGCCCTGATGCCGCTAAGCAAGGACTGATGCAATGGTTATTAAAAAGATTAAAGGTAGGGTCTGTGTAATGCTTTTCATTTTTTTAACAGAATGTAAAATAAGTTTCAAACACTCCTATCTAAGTGGGTTAAGTGGGAAATTAAAGCCAACACCTTCTCTAACCTCTCAAAGTATGTGAAGTTAAAAGTTAGACTGAAGAATCAAGTATAAAAAGATGGAAAAGTTCAAATGTGTAGACATGTTTTTGCTATTTAATTTTACCCCAAAAATTTGAATTAGAGGATTATTTATCATGGATAAAAGAAATAAGAACCGGAAGTCTTAGGTTGTTTCTTGGGTAAAGGCCATATTTCATGACAGAATGATATTTAGAAGGTTGCTGTTTTAACATTAAGATATAGTTAAAAATAATTGCTTTTTTTTTTTCTTTTAGGCAAAAATTCCATTTGAAGGCAATAAATTATACTGCAGTGAGATTTTAGCTATTCTTCTACAGAATCATGATGGTGAGTATAATGTTATGAAGGTAAAAATAAATATAATTGACAAATATGATTAAGAGGAAAAAATAACCTGTTATACTTCCTTCAAATCAGTGTAATAGAAAGAGTTGAAAGTAATGAGATGGGTTTTAGTTTTTGATAAAAACTGAAATGTTTAAAGGAGTATATTTTGGACTGTTACATAAAAAGTAAATGGACTAATCTGCATATTTTTTTTCCTTTTTCAGAAAATCAGGAACTTTTAGGAGAGATGGATGGCATTGATGTTTTACTTCAGCAGTTAGCGGTAAATTGAAATGTTCAAGATTATTTTTATAACTTGGATAGTTAATTTGTGCATACCCTTGTGCCATTTTGAATAATTGTAAAATTATGACAGCAAGTCACAAAATTTGGTTAAAATTAGTAGTCACAATTGACTTAGTATTTTCCAACTCACACAAAGCTTATAATTTTAGCTTTTCTTTATGGCAAGTAAAAAAATGAAATTTGGACATATAAGAAAATTCACCATTAACAAAATTAATGTTCTACATTTAATAAATTACAGTGGCCATAAATTATTCTGCTAATAATAGTGATTGCTGTTAATCTTCAGTAAGATATTCCTACTATTTTAATATGCTCTGCCATGTGATAGTGGGACTAGAAAAAACATACATTCTATTTCTGAAAGAACAGCCGGGAGATGAGGATCTAAACTCATCTTACTGGAATTTTTTAAATCAGGTAAGAGGATATAAAAGGAAAAATATATTAACATTACCTCGCCTAGAAACTCTTCAGCAACTACTATCTCTGTGTACAGGTTTACAAAAGGCATGATCCGAGCAGTGGAGAGGAGGGTGAGTACATGGAAAACCTCTTCAACAGTCTGTGTGCGGCACTCATGCTGCCCTCCAATAGGGACAGGTTTCTCAAAGGTGAAGGACTGCAGCTGATGAACCTCATGTTAAGGTGAGTCCTGCTTAAGTTTTTTTTTTTTTTGTTTGTTTGTTTGTTTGTTTGTTTTTTGTTGACCAATTTCAAAAATTGCCAAATTGAAAATAGAGAATCAGTCTTAGTAAAGACTGTGAAGAATTTTAGTTGACCAAGTTATGCTTCATAAAGAATTTTAAAGGACACTTACGTTATTTTTACATTGTTTGAAGTAAATTAAAGCCTCTAGAGTAGATGTGGCTGTTTTCACGACAATATTTATTGACAGTTATTGATGACAGTAGTCCATATTGGTTTGTGAACCACATTTAATGTTGGTCAATTGCTGTACAATGCTGATAAATACAGTATTGCAGAGTCAGCTTTAGTAAGTTTGATATTGAGCTAATTCTTTATCCCCAGAGAGAAGAAAATGTCCAGAAACAGTGCCATTAAGGTCCTAGATCATGCCATGACGGGGCAGGAAGGGGTGGACAACTGCCAAAAATTTATAGATATTCTAGGACTGCGGAGTGTTTTCCCAGTTTTCATGAAGACTCCAAAGGCAAACAAGAGAGGCCCGGGACCCGAGGAATTAGAAGGTGAGTCTTGGAGCTTTATGTCTGAGGAGCTGTACTTGACTTATTTTGCTATCAAAATTCAATTATAAACCATTGACTGAGGTATTTAGTAGTCAGCCTTTCACATCATCCACTAATGTAATTTTTTTTTTTTTTTTGATGGATGACAAAAATTCCCAGAGGTCCATTTCTTCAGTATTTATAGCATGCACAAAGTTCAAACAAAATTGATTTTCAAATGAAGTAACTGTGGTTGATTAGTTATACCAGAGAGAGATGATGTCAAAGTTTTTGTAAAGCAAGTTTGATGTACGTGCCAGAAATGTGTGTGTGTGTGTGTGTGTGTGTGTGTGTATTTTTTTTTTTTATAAATCTGTCTGACAGCACAGTTATGTCATTTTTCAGAACACATCTGTTCCATCATTGGCTCCTTACTAAAGAACTGCACCGGAACCCAGCGCCAGAGGCTGCTCAACAAATTTACAGAAAATGACCATGAAAAAGTAAATATAATACTATCAAATATTTCATCTTTGAAGGTGTCATGGAAATTGAGAAGTTACTGCTTTTTTGCTGGGATCATGCGATTAGATTTTTGTTGTGACTATAATAATTCCTGTTATCACAGTGGCAATGACTGGATGAAATATGACCAAATGTTTTAAATTTGTTTTCTTTACACCAATTCCATTATCTTTAGCAGTCATAGAAATTATTGTATGTATTGGTAGCATAGTTTATTGTAAATATAATTTATTTATTCATTAATTTTTTTTTTTTTTTTTGCTTGTTAAGCAGTTATTGTTATTTACAGAATTTATTTTTTTCTCCCAGGTTGATAGATTAATGGAACTCCACTTTAAGTACCTGGAAAAAGTACGGCAAGTGGACCTGCAGATTGAGAAAGAGAAAAATGTGAGTTTCTTTTATGACTATATCTTTTTACTTAGGTGAAAAGGTTAACAACTGTAACACTAATATAAAATATTGGGTCGTAGGAAATATCCTAAAATTCCAATTAGTTGCACATTTTCTTAATATTTGTGTTATTGAAATGAATACTAGATAAGTATTTATGCTTTAAAAGCAAAGGCTGTTGCCCATAAATTCATTCCAAATTGGTTTTAAAATTTCTAGAAATTGTTGGGCACTGTTTGAATATTTTTAATGAGAAAATAAAGATATCTACGAATATTTTCACCTTGAGATTTCATCGTTGAATTTTTAAACAAAATTAGTTTATTTCTTACAGAATTGTTACTTAAAATAATAAACACTCAATGGAGAGATGAAATGAAAATGAGAGAAAATGTAGAAAGGTAGAACATGCACAAAAATAGATCAATTTACATCAGATATAACACAATGTCATTTAAATTTCATTGTCTGTATTTCAGGATCTGAAGTTCTTTGGTGGTGATATAGATGATGATATGGAGGATCAGTTTTACCTGAGACGTTTAGATGCTGGACTCTTTACACTGCAACTGGTTGATTTTATCATGCTAGAGATATGCGTTACTGGAGTGCCATCTGTAAGTGTGAGATAAGTGTTATGGGAGTGGCATCTGTAAGTGTGAGATATGTGATACTGGAGTGTCATCTGTAGGTGTACGCATTCATTAGCCACCAGTCCAGAGCTGACTAGTAGATTTGACATACTAGAAATTTTTGATTTTTAGAGGTTGTTTGATCATAATCATGGGGATTTTACTTGTCATTGCTATATTTCAACCGGGAGGTTTTCTAACTTTTTTTCACAGAGATGCCTCTTTATTTGCAGGTAAAGCAGCGTGTCATGCAGATATTGAACTTACGAGGAGGATCAGTGAAGACCATTAAGAGTGTTATGAGGGGTAAGACCATCATATAGCATCATTTAGCATGTGAAGGGCATTAGGCACATACATATTCAAATCATTATTTTTCAACCCTTTTCCCCTCACTCATGTGTCACTGGAAAATCAAAGAATATCCATTGCCATTCACAATCCACATACCCATTTGACTTACAAATTTACCATCATGGCCCAGATGATATTCCCTGGTTTCCATCTCCATTACTGAGAAGTAAAAACTTGGGGAACTTGAAGTCAGGGCATACTTTGTGAACAATCTTAGATATGGTATGCCTTAGTGATTAAGGAAATGGTGTTGACATTTTAGAAGTATATATATATATATATATATATATATATATATATATATATATTTTTTTTTTTTTGTAAGTTGAGCACTTATTGTGTGTCTTTAGGATGAAATAAAAAAGAAAACATTTAATCTGTAAGATTGGATGAAAGTTTCATTTATCAAAAAAATTACTTCATGGTAGTCGAATGTCAAATCAGTTCAAACTTTTTATAAGATATAGTGGACAAACAGTTCATTGGAAAAATAAATTTGATAAATTTTGACTCTTATGTAGTCTAAGAAGAGATTTTTGAAACTCCTTATTTTCACATTTTAGAGTATGCAGGAAACATTGGGGATGCAAAGAATCCTGAAGCCAAAGAAGCAGAGCAGTCCAAAATTCTCGATCTGGTCAGCAAATTTTGAAGGGAAGAAAACAACATGTGAAGAGGATATGTGAATTTCAACATAAGTGAAGGGGATTATATATGTGAAAGGTAATGTCGTTGAACTTTGTCACAGATGACAAAGAATATAACATGAAGTACAGGCATGACTGTCTTGCATTGATTGGTATTGTCAAGAACAAGGTAAATTCCAAATGTTAGGAAAGGATAGCAAAATCACAGTATGCTGGAAATAAATTGCGTCTAATAATAGTGTCAGTGAGCCAGCATAGGGATGGGAATGGCTCCTATGGTTAGAAATTGTAGTCCATGGTGTACTGTGTCCAGATGACAAAGCCTGAGAGGTAGTGGATCAATAGAGACAGCCCCTCCTACTGCAGTTAACTTAGCCTGTGGTATGGCCTTCACTGAGAATTTCCTGTCAGATCCTGAAAATTTCATTTTCAGTCTTGATAGGTTCTGAGCTGTTATGCCACATATCAAGGACGAAAAGGCTGAATACATTATACTCTAATGTATACTATACATTATACTATAGAATACTTATTGAACTTTTCTACTGGATTTTTTGGACAGGGAGGGAGAAAGATATCAGACTTGAGCATTGCATGATGTGCTTCTCATAATTATGGGAGGAGATACTGAATTATATAACCATTAATTTTTAATGAAAAAGAATCTTCCTTCAAAAAATAAATAAATAAATTGCATAGTAAGCTGTCTATGGAACAACGTGTATTCTACAGAGAAAAACAAAAGAAAGTTCAGAAAAATACCAATTAAGCTTTGGTAATTCTGCTAAGAGTGGAATGTAAAAATGTCAATAAATTCAATTTTTATACAGTGAACACATTTATTTCTTGCCTGACTTGACAGTATGCACACTGATTGATTTACAGTTATTGATAAACAAAAATAAAGTGTAATTATTTAACACAGTACAATGAAGCAAAGATGCAATAACTGAGTGGAGAATTTCAGCAGCCTTTAGCAGTTTCTTTGGTTCTCTTTTTCACAACCCTTAGTAACCTCTGCAACTTCGGGTACTTTTCATGCAAGTCGGACGGAATGTGAGTATTACAAAAAAGATCTTATAAAATACCTTAAATGAAATGCACAATTATCTTATTAGTAATACAATAAACGTAAAACATTTAAAACTTGCACTAACCCACAAACAAAAATGAGATTCTTTTCTTTATCCATGAGATGGACAGACTAGTATAAATTCCACAAAATAAACATTCTTATGAGGTTAAAAATTATTGAAATCATTTAACAACACTCTTATTAAATAATAAATGCTACCAGTTGATAAAATTAAATCCATGTAACAGCAGATCTTGCATAATATTATTGTAATGGCCACACATCAACCAGACACTCCCCTATTATAATGTTCTGCCCTCGTCTTATGACAGAACAGTATGCCTGTAAAAACAGACTGCATATTATGGACAATAATAGTTAAGTTGGTCCCAATTAATACAATGTATGTAAGGTCTACTGTAGAATAGCAGTTATCAAAATGATACAATCTTTAAAACTGCACCAAAACAAACATTTGCAAACAACTCTGTTCTCTCTTAACACATAGGGAGATTTGGACGCAAGCTTAAAACTGAAGATTTGTTTAAAAAAACAACACCAAATATTACACTTTCCTTGAATGAGTGGTAATAAACACATGAACAAATGTAATGAGAGTGTGGCAGGTTGTATACAACCCTGTCATGTTTTTCCCCATTTGAGCTGAACTGATCATGTATATTTGAGTATATCAAGTACAGAATGTCAATGAGTCCTAAAAAAATATTGGAGCAGGTGACAAGTTTGAGATTTGTGCATGATAAGTACAAACATGCCAATATTTTACATTAATCATCCCAGATCTAAGAAATTGCATTTTTCATTACTGGTCGACTTTTGCCCAAAGTTATTTGTAATCATTTGAAAAGCTAGATTCCGCGATGGATTTAAGTACAAAGATGGTTGGATTCTGATGGATAATCTCAGTCAATGCCAATAGGAAAAATTATCCAAAGATTTAATTGAAATGTTTTTCATTTTCAGTAATATTGCAACTGGCAGAGTTGTAATTGGTTACACAATTCTAGTAATGCTGTTTCAATTCAGATCTCTATTAACATAAGTTCCTTGTTCTCCATTTAAGCCCTCTGACCTCTGTTTAATGCCTGCTGATACTTATTCACACCCTCCCTTGGAGCATATATTGCTGAGGACGTGGTGGGCCTCAGGGACGCCTTTCTGTGCTGCATGCTGAACCAGTCTGTGGGCCTCACTGGAATTGAATAAAGACATCAGATTGCAGGAATCAAAAGAGTAATATAATAAATATACGTTTCCCTGACAAATAATGCACATTTTGAGACTTGCTATTTCTGACCATTATACAATAAGTCTATTATACTGGGCCCAGTTTCATCAACACTGGATAGTGCTATCCTATGGATAATGCTGTCCACTGTATAAAATTGTTATCCTATGGAAAGTTGTCCTGAAGAAGGCAGCCATTTTTAACCACTGGATAGCAACATCGAAAACAAAAATATTTGTCTAGCATTTAGGAAACATAACTTTATCCACAAGATAACTGTCCAGGGCCCAGTTTCATCAATACGGGATAATGCTATCATATGGATAACACTACATATCCTTCAGATAAATTGCTCTCCTCTGGAAAGTTATCCTGAGGATAGTAGCCATTTTTTAACAACTGGAAAGCAATATCAGAGACAGAAAAAAAGTATGTAGTGTTTAGTAAATATTACCTCACCCACCGGATAATTCTCCAGATGATAACAATTTTATCCAATGGATAGTGCTATCCAGTATTGATGAAACTGGACACTGCTGCATTTGTTTGATGGTTGTTAAATAATACTGAGAATTCCAGATTCAGTATACCATAGGTGAGTGTCTTTATGTCAGTCTACTCAAGGTCTATTGCCATTTTGTTCAAATTTGGAGAGCAATCACCACAAACTTACCCTCTGGGTAATGTGTGTAACCCATTCAGGTGGCCCACTGCCAGATTGTAGGAGGCATGAGGATGTCCCTGATCTGCTGCTTTTCTAAAATAATAATAATAACAATAATAATAATAATAATAATAATTTATTGAGTTCTGAAAGGTTATTTTAAATTTTCACATTTACTGGATCCTGATAAATACTGTTCTTGATAAAAGGAATAGTATTGAAATACAATTAAATACAATATTAAATCATAAATAGAAAACAAAGTAATGTTGGGAGCTGACAAATGGAAATAGAAAATACAGTGACTACTGATCACTGGCACTACTCAAGGTATAAAACTACAGGTACGAGCCTTCTACTCTGCTGGCTCTCATTTTGTTGACTATAGTTTGACTATGACTTCCACTATGAAGTACTGATAACCTGGTGAGTGCAGTAGGTCAGAAAATGAACCAGCATTGGGAAACTGGCCATCACATCAATTTCTCTTTGTTTAACTAAAATATTTTACTGTTCTCAGATAATGGTCGTATAAAGTATGACATGTTATTAGGCACAACTGAGTATGTCAATATAATTGTTCAGTCGGAGGGGGCAAAAAGAAAGTTACCTTTTTTTTTAAATTACATCTCATTTTACTAAAGCATTTACATAAATAGAATTAACAAAAATTGCTGCAAATTGTGACTTAATATTTCAGTACTTTTAAACCAACATAAAACAATTGCGAGAGCAGTGGTACATATATGTAGAAGTTGACTGCTGGAGTGGTAATTGTGAGAGTTCCCTGACAGCACAAGTTACAATAATCAATCAATTTGTAATGCTTACTTAAACCATTCCATTGCTTTGCCTTCATGTTTTTCAACACCATGACCTGGAATTTTAAAAGTAATCAGTGAAATTACCACTTCCGACAGAGAAAGCGAAGAAAAAAGTAGTCTCGAAACGCAAAGTGTGTAACATTTATTTTTAATAGAAACAATATTTATATAACATGAAAACAGCACACATATTTTATACAATAAATTCTAAAGATTGTAAGTCTTAATAAGCTATATTATAATATCAAAATGCAAAGAGTGTAATATTTATTTCTAATAGAAATAATATGAATATAACATGAAAACCTGCAAATATTGTTTTATACAATGAATTTTTAGGATTGTAGATCTAAGTCATAATAAGTTGTAAATACATAAAATAATTATTTTTGATAGTGAAATCAAGGAAAACTGACCTTGCAAAATCAAATGAAAACATTTACATTAATTCCTAATAGATATGATAATCACAGAAGTTCACCCACAAACTTCCAGGAAATACATTTATTCCCTCACTGAAATGTCAACAACAATATAAACACCACATATAAAAGACTAGCCTTACCATAGAGATATCTCTGTCCCACCAAGTGTTGTGCGTGCTCATAGCCAAGGTGAGCGTACCCGTGAATCACATGGAAATGGAGGTTATCAAAGTAGTAGTATGCATAGAGACAGAACGCAAACACCAGGAGAATGATGAATCCCTAGAAAATATGGAAATAAAATTTACTTTGGATGAATCAAAGTATACACGGTGAAACAATTTGAAATAAACCATCCCAGCAAACTGACTCAGTGCCTGGTAATATATGTCTGAAGAAAAAAAAAGTTTCAGCTGCATTAAAAAGTGGCTATATTAACATGCAATACTGTGATCAATCTAAAGCCTTTAATTATTCATGCCAAACGATGCAGTATCGAGTTTTCTTTGCCCTGGAATAATAATCAATATAAGGTCTAGAAAGTAACCGATGGCATCAGATAATAACACGTCATTTAAAATGAATAGTAGAACTATAGACCTATTTGCAACACCGACATTTCATCTTACTGTGTGCCCTTCCCATATTGCTCTAAGTTTTGTTAAGCCCCTGATAAAGGTTGGTAAGGCTAGAAGCCTAGAATACACGGCTTCAATAACAGACTGCATGTGATTGTGAAGCGCACTTGTCAACAACTTCTCTGCACTTACCTCAAACAGTCTGACGTGTAACGGATCCGGCTTTTTCTTCCGCGCAAGGTAGACTTTACCTCCATACGGCAGATTAGGGTCCCATTCATCATTAGGGGAAGGTGTCCATAAAGCATCCTTTGAACTTCGCCTGTTCCGAAGTTGCTGTGTCTCGCTTCTGGTCGCCATGTTGTTTATATTGATCATGTGACTGAGATGCAAATCAAGACAGGACAAAATCGATAAAATTACCATATAATAACGCATAAACATTAACGTTAATTTTTCTGAAGCTTCCGTGAAATACATAAACATGACATATCTTAACGTCGTGTAACCGCATTAAATTAAGCTTGCAACAACAGGTTTTAAGCAAATTTCCAACAGGTTAACAAGCACTTTCACATCGATATGAAACAAAACGTACGGGCTTTAATTAAAGGGATAATAACTCTTCGTATGAGATNCACTTTAACGCAGAATATCCTTTACCTGTTTTTTTTTTTTTTTTATTTTTTTTTTTTGACAAAATGTAACATTGACTTTAAAAACTCCATATATGTTGCTGACAGAAAAGGAGGATTTAACTTGTAAATTTAGGTGGAAAAGAAAGGGGGGGGTGGGGGGATAAAAATAGTAGGCTATTTAGGCCCTATTAGCGGACCCAGGACTTTCAAAGATGAAAGAATTTATCCTGCAAAGCGAACAGGCAGAATACTAGATTGTCTAAAGATTTTGGGGCGGAAACTTTCCCGTTTTTTTTTTTTTTTTTTAACACTTTCTGGATCCGCGATTGAGTATCAACACAAGAAACAACGTTAGACATATAATTATATTTATATACTAAAACAACAGTAAACTGCATAGTTATTCTCTGTAAGATATCTGTGTGACTTTTTAACTACATGTACAGTTTTACCGATTTTAAGATATGGTTGTGGTAAATTGATAAATTATGGATGTTATTCCAATAGAAAAATGAAATACCACTGAATGAGAGTAATTGTGATTTCTTTTTTCTTCTTTCTTAACATAATATCATTTCTGGCATGATTTTTTTCAAGCTCATAAAACAAATAAAGTGTATCATGTCCACAAACAATTCGAAGTTTGAAATACTGTTCGATGAACACCCAGAGCGGTAAGGAAGCAAAATGTTCTCATGGAAAGAGAAGTAAAAAAATTAGAAAAGCTCTGGATGCTCTAAAATGTATCTGAACACAACCCAAGCGGCATGGCCGATTCTGGACCACCAACCGCCGCCCCCGCGGTTGGCCTCGGTCGGCTGAGGAGTCGGGAGGTCACGTCTGTCAGTTTGGTTTAATGTCTCGGAGATGACTGTCTTTCCGCGTGTCTCATCCGTGTTGACATCAGAGACATTGGACGGCAGGGACTCCTTGATTTCCTAAAACAATTTTATTTAGAATTAGTTTCCGGTTCTTTTTTTTTTTCAAAGAAAAAAAAAATGGGAGTAGGGCCTTCTCCATACCTTAATTACTAATTATAGCTAGGGACAGAAAAATAAGTGAAGCCTAAAGAACATTTATAAAACAAATTACCTATTAAATATGTTTCAGTAATAATAAGTGAAGCCCAAAGAACATTTATAAAACAAATTACCTATTAAATATATGTTTCAATAAAAGGCAGATTGTGTTTTATCTTCTTCAGTAATAATCAACAACCAACGTTTTATATGAGGAAATGACGAGCTAAAATGAAACTTTTAAAAGTTATTTTAAAGCTAATACAACGTAAAACTTACCTCAATGAGGTGTTCACTGCCGTCATTTTCTGTTTCATTGTTGTTCATATCCATCTGAGATGCGGCATCTGGTACGGGTTCGCCCTGTGGCTCCTGGACAACTGCAGAGGAAGCTAACTTTTGCATCTCTCCTGCGCTGTCCTTTGGTGCGTCAGTGGAGCTTTCTAGCTCCTCTCCATCAGTTGTCCCTGAAGTGTTTTGTTCTTCATCATGCGTGTCGTCAGGCTGCACCTCTACGCTCTCCAGGGCGGATTCATCTTTCAGGTCCAGCAGTTGTGCGTTATCCTCTGGTTCTGGAGGTAGGTGAATCTGCGCCTCTTTCACTTCCTTTGGCTCTTCTTGGGCCAAAGAGGGCGATGATACCGTTGGTGCCACCTCCTCCTCCTCCTCCTCCTCCTCGATCCGTCCTAAAGACATGTCTGCCCACACGCCGGAATCGTTGCCTAGGTCATCGACTGGGTTGGCCCCGTCCTTGTCATCGTTGTCAGTGACAGCAGAGGTGACATTTTCATTTTGAAGGCTCTCGGTTTCATCGGGTAATTCTGCACCTCCGCCTTCTGCATCTTCCTCCTCCTCCTGCTCTCTAATAAGTCTCGTAATCCTGTCATAGTAATCTTCTGATGAGATGGGATGGGAGAAACGAAGTCGCATTTGACGGGCCTTTCTTACGTTGTTATCTAGAAGGACAACATAGGCGTAGTTTATAAGTGCTGTAAAACGTACAAATAAAATATGCCAGTTATAGACCGCATGCTTCGATCATGATGACCATTTTATTTGTGGCTAAATAGTTTTATGATCATTAAAAAGTGTAAACGGCATTAATAGCCGATATAAAAGCTTTTAAAAACCAGTAAAAATAGCGCGGAATAGTTATCAATCGTGTGTGAATATATCATTGGCTACTTCAGTAAACACTGGTTGTTTTACCTAGACTGATCTTCCTCCTGGCCCAGTAGACCACCAAACCCTGGGCTATGGCACACACCACCCAGGCTACAACCACCAGCCCATCATGTATGGGATCACCATTGAAGCGGGGAAGACGTACGTAGACGTCATGGACTTTGTACGCAGCCTTCTTCAACACAGAATAAAGAAGTGCTGAAAAAAGAAGAGGGCAATGTTTTGATTTCTACCTGTGCCAAATAACGTTATTGTAATAAAACAATCTTTGAAATGAAGATAATTAAGTGATGTAACATGATAAAACGAAAACATTTCTGGTAATGAAGATGTGCTTCAAAGGGTGATATTTTAAAATTAAATTGCATGGTACCAGTGTGATTTCAGTTTTTGTGAACCTACCTTTAGTCGCTTCGACGTCCAAGCCCTGATACAGGTAAGTTGTAATTTTATTTCCCAGGTGCATCCCATTGTGGCAGGCTCTTGCAAACCCCTCTTTAACTTTCCATACACAGTCTGTCATAGATGTGATGGCCTTCTGGGTAAAGTCCAAGGCTGGCTGTGCAATACATTTACTGAGGAACTCTTGGGCGTTTTCTAGGATTTCGTTTGCCTTTGACGCCACATCAAATCCTGTCTCACAGACTTTCCGAAGGAACGGCAAGGTGTCGTAGCCTTTGCAGACCTTATCTTTGTGCGTCTCACGCACGAAGAGCCTTCTGGTGATTTCAAAAATTCTGTCGTATCCTTCAGCCAGAGTGGAGACAAGTTGTGGAGGGTATTCAGCAGCATGGAACAAGAGTGTACAGGCGCTCTTTGCGTACCAGTTGGAATGTCCTTTACACTTTCGTTCCACGGGAGACTCAGGAACGAAGTAGAGGCGCACTCGAGCGATGTCAATGTGTGCTACAAGCCCGTCCTTGAATGACCTGAAGACTTCTTCTGCAGACTTCTTGCTGCCTTCAATGGCCTCTACAATGTCATGCACTGAAATGAAAAAAAGTGAGATGTATAATGTTCAATCAAATTCATTTACATAGGGCATGCATCAAAATCGCATGCTATCTAATGGCAGACACATGTAAGACACTAAATGGACATTATTCAACAACTGAACACGTTTTCAAAATGCCAGAAAGAAGAAGATAATTAACCAGTTTGACATACTAGTAGCTAAGGATATCCATATATGGCACAACTGTCTCACCTATTGCTGCTGATGTTGCCTGAACTTTGTCGCAGTAGTTATTAAGAAGAGCATAAAGGCTGTGTTGCCAAAAAACAAAGTGACTGTGACTCTTGTCTTTAACGTCGGCGATGCTTTGAACAGCGTCCTGATAGGCTGAGAAAACTACAGCCTTGAAGTAAGAGGCATTCCACCCACGGTCTGAAAAATATTTGACATTTTAATGAATCAAAAGAATGATGGATAAAGGCGGCGTTAATTTTGATATGCGGCACGGTCCAATCAAAACTCTGTTGCCACACTCATCATTATGATTCTGCACGTTAAAGCGTGCTTTGAAATCTACTCTTTTTTTTTAAAGATAAGCTATCCATTTAAAAAGTATGGACATTTGTACTAATCGAACACAAACCCGCTTTATTTCTAACCAAGAGCTTGTTTCCTTACAGTTTTCCTTTGATCATTCGCTTGATAAAGTACCAGGAAGTTTGATACAATGTACCACTGATTGGGCATTTTTCTCTAAGCTATTTATTTATTTATTTATTTATTTATTTACTCTTATTCAATCTACATCAACTTCATTCAAACATGTCTGAAGCCGAATTCAATAAAAAAGGGACTCTCACCAGTACTAGTTTTGTTTCCTGTCTTGGTTGTTTCATCATGGTTCGTTGGAGGTGGTTCATTTCCAGCGATTTCTTCATTAAAGTCAGTGCTGAAGAGATGTCTACTGGCGCCGCTCCTCCTTCTCGTTGTTGTTCTTGTAAACCATGGGTGGCCCTCCCTCGGTTCGAATTCTGTAAGATGTATCTTATGACTTACGAATTCTTCTGGACTGCTGTCCCCAGTAGCTCGAACCGATATGTTAATGTAAATCTCCAGGTTTTGATCTTCGATTTTCCTATGAGTAAGTATAATGGAATAATAAACATTAATGTACACATTAGAAACAATTGGGTATCTACTTATGAACAAGAATTTCCAACGAAATATTTTGAAAAAACACAAAAAAACGTCTATAAGAAGAGTTTTCAGAATTTGTGCTGAGCAAGTGAAGACAGTCTACGAGCGTGAAAATTTACACCGTTTGCTTTTGTTGCTTAAACTTAAGAAGACGGTCTATACATTGAATTTGTACGTACCTGTCATTATTCTGGAGAAAGTGTAATATAAATACACAAGCAAAACTGAGAATTAATAATATCAATAACCGTAAAATCGACATAATGGAAACATATATCTTCGCATTTCCATGTTGACTTTGTAACTACGGAAGCGTCGTCGTCACATTACTTATGACGTCACATTACTATTCAGATGACGTACCGATTACGCGACGTTACGCTTCGTTGTTGAACGACGCATTGTCGCACAATGAGAGAAGAGGTCGGTTTTAAGAGTAGGATTTCAAATATAATTAATTAACTTCAAAAGATATACTTAANAGTGATACAAAATACTTCATTAAACTGCTTTTGATATGTTTATATATATGCAGATGCTAAATTTCAGCTTTACGAATGGACCACAAAATAGGGGCGGATCCGCTGAAGGGCCCCGATAAAAAAAATTGGTATTTTAGAGGACGAAGGGTCCTATTTGGTACTATTTAGAACTAAGATTCAGTAAGTCAAAATTCTAATTTCAAGAGAGGTCAGTTGGATTTTCAGAAATGGAAGGGGGGTCAGGACCCCCCGTGCACCCCCCTTCCAAATCCGCCACTGATTAAAGGGCAGCCTCACCTTTTCTGGCCAATGTCTAATTATAAAGCTCATTTCACAATAATTAAAAGAGATGAAGTCTGAACACTGGGATGCTGTGGGATTTCAAACATACTGGCGTGTTAAAAAGAATTATTACAAAAACAGGTAACATAGAAAATACACTCACTGTTCCGTTCTGGATCATAACCAAGAGCTCGGCAGGTGTTTGTGCATGGAAAACGTTGGCGTGCGGGACGTCTCTCCCAGCTACCTGGTCCAGTCCGGCTATACAAGCTTCGTTAGTGAAGAACCCGCTAATCAGTCCTGTAAGAAGGCAGCACGCATATTAATACCAATGGACCGCTTTTAAAAGACTCGCGTTTGTAGACATAGGTCTGGTTAACTTAAATAGCCGACGAAACAATTTTTTTTTTTTTTTACCTTTTTTTTTTTTTTTTGTCAAAGAGAATTGTTTTCTCAATATTCAGGTTAAAAAGACAGGATGTAAGGAATTAAGCGAGTAAGAAAAGTAACAAGTTAGAAGTCGAAATGAAAATAAAATACCAATACCTGAGTGGATGTTGTATCTTGTCTTACTATGTAGTTTGACCCTTTTGGGAACGCAAATACAATATTTTGTTAAAATATTCCATCAATTTTGACATTCTACATGTATTTCTGCACCATCTACCCGGTATACTCCAGTTTTAAAAAAAGTAATACCAAAACAAGACCTGGTACTCGTGATGAAACGTGAATTATCTTACCTACTATGTGAATACAAGAAAACTCACCTATTTTCTTTCCAGTAATATTGAATGGATTAAATCCAGGAAAGGCGTAGAAATAGACCTCGAGTGGTTTCAGAAACGGCTTGGAAAATGAGAAAATCTGCCTTCGTTGACGTGAGGCCAGATATCCGATGCAGGCGTCGTACCAACCTTCCATAAGTCCTGAAATGATGCCATGTAAAGACAAAATCCAGGGTAAAATTTATTCCAATACTTGAATTTCAATATCATGCCCAACTATAAACTACAAAAAACTACAAAAATAAACTACAAAAATGTATAAATGTTAAAACATACATGTAGGAAAAGCTTTAGCTCTAGTCCAGTATATCACATAACAGTCTCAGTTTAACTATACATTTTAGAATAAAAATGAACAAATTGTCGCCATATAAAAGTCGACCTGACCAAAGTGAATAATTTAGTTGCCAGCTTTACCAAACCACTTGATTATTTTCTTACATTGAACTTTGTCAACTTCACTTCACCCACTCTTTAAAAACTCTGCTTCTAAGCGCGTTTTTTAAAAAAAAACCTAAAACGAAACAATAAAAGAAACTCGTTTTAACAACCAACTGCTATGATGTAAATAGAATAATGCCCTGTACCTATCCCCCCTCTTTGTGGCTGCCCTTTCTCTGAGAACATGCAGTTGGTGAACGGCTCCGTGACAATCCTGCAATCAATTCCCGCCTCCCGACACACTTAAATAAATAGATAATCGAATAAATATATAAAAAATGATTAATTAAATAAATAAACCATTGACTTCCAAGTTAATATTTTGCAGTGGTAATGCAGTGTTCAATGTTATTAAAGGATATTTAAACAAGAACCAAACAAATTATTCAAAGAAATTTTTGATTACCTGCGTCTATTAGGTCGTGACCGAATCCAACTTGAAACCCGCTGTCGTCACTGAAAAGTTAGACGGACAGTTAAAGTCATCAGATTTGCAGATTTTACACAAACCCTCCATTTGCTCTGACCCCCCCCCCTTCACACACACACACACACACACACACACACACACACACAAATCATTTGATCTATATTTCTGCTTATTTCTGCTAACCTATATACATAAGCCCCAATATTGAATCCAATGGCCACTGTGTAAATTCTCTTTCTATTGGAAGCCTGACACCGGCTGGCGTCATAGGTACCGGGTGAGTATGCTACTGCAGGCTGGGGAGTTTGTCGAGAACTCGTCGTTTTACCCTGAACTGTAATGTCGGAGCCAGCGGGTTTGGAGATTGCGACGGCTGAGATGATGAGCGCAACTATCGTAACCAGTACACAAATCGCTATGGTTATTGTCGTGGTGGCTGGAAGAGAAGAAATATAGGGATTAACCCGAAAAAAAAAAAAAAATCTTCCTGCATGTTTGAGCTCCCGTACATTCACCATGGTAGAAACTTGACAGCCAGAAGGCGTTACACCATCGATGGCACCCTTTACAGTGCACATGATCGAAAATCCATCACTGGTTAGACGAACAATAAAACGCAAAACACTTTTTTACTTACGGGTCCCTCCAAATCACACAGCGACCTATTCACATAGATAATACACTACCCCTGTACTTGTGTCACCCCTCTGTACATGTTCGACATTCGGTTACAATAAATGAAATCGAGTACAGAAAATCGCTGCTGAAGTAAAATATTTTCTGTTTAAAGAAAACATTTTACCAAATCTTTTCTAAGGCAAATTACCTTCTAGTTGGTTGGTTTTCGTCACATGGTTGACATTGCTGTCGCTCCTTGCATCCGACATCTTGGAGCTAGGACAAATGTCTCGAGCTAGGGCAAATGTAATATAATCTCCATCTGTTCATGCTAGGCACGGATTGTGTCTGTTAACATTAAAAAAGTAAAAAAAAAGAACCAGCTTACTTATGCAAATGTGACTACTTTTTATACCCTACAAGGTGTGCATAAAACCTGCAGCCAAAACCGAGAACAGTTAAATAATATTCAAACGTGTGTGTTCACACCTTTACTTTAAATAATAAGTCCCTTGATTAAAATGAACTGTTAATTAACAAAGCCTAAATACATTAACAAAGTGGGCAAAATCGCGATCTAAAAGTTTGCTCACAGAACAAGAAAAATCCTACATATTACACAAATTATCAATAAATTTATTCCAATGAAATACTGATTCAGAAAAAAAAAAACAGCAAACCAACCTTGAGGACGTCAACAGTGGTTTTTAACTGTCTGGCTTTGGATCTCAGCCTAATTTACATTCACTCCTGTCAGAGACCACAGTATTGAAAATATTGTAATACTTTTAATGTCTTATACATGGTGTGGTATCAAATTCAATCAGTGGAAGACTGAAGTTAAAGCCATAGAAATGCATTAATCACCAAAAGCAAATAAAAAGTAAATTACAAGCATTATTACTCCACTTAATCTTCATGGGATTTTATAGGTCAAAGCTGTCACTGTTGCTTAGGTAAAACAGATATTATTTTCATCCCTAAATTCAACCACATTATGCGCGTTGCAATACACGTTAAATTGTCTCAGTGTTTGCGTCCAAGTCAGCAAAATTATCACGAATCAACAGAAACCGCCTTGATGGCTATGAGATAAAAAGCCGAGGTTTTTGCGTTTAAAGCTTTATTTCCTACAAAGGTAAAATATTTCGCAAATGAACCTGCTGAACTATACCATTTTCATTCTGCTGAAAGGGGTCGCAGCTAGTTAGATATGGCGCATACCGTTGGCTACGGACTCAACTTAATCCGAGTTTTATAATTGATGGATCCAGCTATAGTAATTCAAAATGTGTATTTGCCTGATACACTTTCCCCCACTCGCATTCGTAAAATTTGCCTTCATGTATGTAAATACATGTATAACAACTTAAACAAAAGCATCACATTTTTCAAATTTTGTTAATACATGTAAGTTAACATATGGCCTTTGTCGTAGGCCAAAACGAGGCTATAATTTTCATCTATGCCCAAACAGGAAGTTTCAGAATTACCTACTACAAATATTTTAACAAATCTTAGTTCTGTTATAACTCCTTGGCTTTATATAACCCATATAACTGCATTACCTCAGTCAGGACGGCACCGCCTGATTACTTTTGCTTTGCTAAATTAGTATCTTAAATCAAACCAGGAGCCTTGTGCGTCATGTGAAAAATAAAAATAAATCAGCTTATTTCCATTATAAACAGTTATGTTTTTCTTTTCCGAAGACGACATTTCTTTCATGAGACTGTTGATTTTGTCAAAAAAGAAATTAATAAAATTAGTTAATTGTAGTGGTAATGAAATTCTAATAACTATCAACTGCAGCACTAAAGTTATGCATTTACATGTAATAAGCCTGTTGGAATTACATTTGTGCTTCCTTAAAAAAACACTGCGGGTCTGAAATTGATATCACTGGTGGTAATCCTTTCATCAGCATGAAATTCACACATTATCAATAAATTTTCGGTTCTATCCATTAGATTCATTTATAAATTTCGTCTTGGCTTCTTGTAAGTTCCGCAAGCTGATAAAAGCTACGGATGCCTCGTCCTGTGGTTTAGCTTTCAACCTGAAGGCCAAGGATATCTTCTGAGATCCAGATATCAGGTTCAGGTAACGGCCGCCTATATCTTTGTTTTAACCATCAAGGTGAAGGTTACCAATTCCTAAATTTCTGTGTTTTAACCATCAAGATAAAGGTTACGGGTGCATTGTTTTGTGCTTTAGCTATCAAGGTGAAAGTTTTTGATTCCTGTTGTTAGGCATCCACACAGCCAATCTCACCGCGATGACCTGTTGAGACAAACGTTACAATGTATGTGACGTTGGATGATATCACGTGACGTGTCATGAATGTAATCTTTAAACATGAAAGATTACCTCAAGCGATATCTTAATTTGATAACTTTGTTTTTCAGTGTAATGATTTTGCCTTGATATCCTATAAGGGAAGTTTTTACTGTGAAAAAAACATGGGCGTTGTTAACCTTCCTTTGCTTATCTTGAAAACAGCACCTCTTGTGGCGGTTTCTTGCGACATTGCTTACATTAACTAGCTTACAGTGTTTTGTAATAATCAATATACGTATTGTAAATTAAGTAATAGATCCCTAGTTATTAATAACATACTACCGGAAATTAATCAAAACTGCTCAGACGTACCGTGCTTGATCCGTGCCTCATCACATAGCCGTCTAAAACGTCCTGAAGAGACCAGTTTCTCAAACCCTTCATTCCATTTAGAGTTGAAGTCATTGTCTTTACGGGTCATCATTCCAGGTTGTCCGGCATTCTTACAGAACATGGGATCCGATGGGAACCGTTGGGTATTAGTGCCATTGATTTTGGTGGCCATAGAAGGCCCCGTGCTTAAACCCACGTCTACCTGTATATTAAGAATTATTAAATGATTGGTAAAGAAAATATCCAATTTCGACATCACTGAAAAAGGTTCATAATTGTCGAGAGCTGATGCGCCTCAATGTATTTAACCGCTGAAATTCATTAAATGATCTTGAAAACGTATTTGGTTGTAATAACTCAAATGAATGACGATGGTAAAGCTGGAATATATATATATATATATATATATATATATAGCATCTGAGAAGGTTACATAGTGATACGAAATATTTCACGAAATTGTTTTTGATCGTGCTTTTGATATGTTTATATATGCAGCTTAACCAGTAGACCATAGTGGCGAGTAGCCTAACGTAGCTTTTCTGGCCAATGTTAAGTCATAAAGCTTATTTCACAATAATGAAAAGGGGTGAAGTCTGAACACTGGGATGCGGTGGGATTTAAAACATATGGGCGTATTTAAAAGAGTTACAAAAACAGGTAGCATAGGAAAACACTCACAGTTCCGTTCTGGATCATAGCCAATAGCTCGTCAACCGTCTGGGCGTGGAAAACGTTGGAGTGCGGGACGTCTCTTCCAGTCACCTGGTCCAGTCCAGCTAGGCAGGCTTCGTTACTGAAGAAGCCGCTTATCAGTCCTGTAAGGAGTCAGCATGCATGTTTACACCCATGTGCCGTTTTAAAGACACTCGTTTGTAGGCATAGGTCTGGTTTACTTTGATAGCCGACGAAACAAAGTCCAATTTTGGATATTGGTCACAGAGCTTATTGGTTAACGATTGCATTTTAAGACCCAGCTTTGTCTATGCCAATTTCAATGCCGAGGCCGATTCTGACTTTTTTGACGTCGTTTAGGGAACGGGTGTCAGCTAGCGGTTTATTTCACAATAGAACTTTAACGCGCAAATTGGCCTTGACTTTTGTTTATTCTTTTTCAACCCAAGATACAGCAATTGTAGTTTAATTACATGAAACCCACATTCAAGGCAAGGCGCTGCTGTTGTTTCAGACCTATGCGTACGTGCACTGTATTTAATGGTATCCAATAAGGCATCTTCGCGCCAAATGCAATTCTCCCAGAAAAATAAAGCAAGTGTGTAAGAACCACAAATGATTTAGACAGCCAAAGTCCTCTTTGACATTTCCAAGGACATATGTACAGCAGTTATTTTTACTCTAGGATATTCATTATTCCTAATAGCAGATGCCTTTAAGAAGCAAAATCGGGGTGACAGCTAGAGATGAAAAATTTATTTCCTTCTTTTTTTGTCCCTGCAGTTGTTGCCTTTCGTCCCAAAGCACCCAAAACCAACATTCTTCTGTTACCTCTAGATTTAGAAAAGGCTTTTGATTCCGTCTAGTGGAAATACATTTATTTTGCAATGTATCATTTTTTAAATTTCATTGGAGACACCCAAAATGTATCAAAACCCTCTTCTCTTATGTTTCTGCTGTTGTTGAATAGGATGGACATCTCGGGGTCACTCGGGGTGTCAAAGAGGGGGATTCTCTATTCCCATAAATATTCATTATCTGAATAGAACTGTTCAGTGCTGCGGTCAAATTTGATGTAAACATTAATGTAAAGAGATCTTACTTAGTCTGAATACGACATTACACGACTCACTGATGGCAACACCTTTCTATTTTAAGGAGCATGTTCAGATGCTCTTCATCGTACTTTAAGGACAAGAGAGGACCAGACAACTTTAAGGGATGAGTTGAGGCAGGCGTTCTTGAGGGTTGGGTTCATCTGAGCCAACAAACTGCAGAAACGGGTTAAGTCAGAACCTCACGAATAGAGGACGTGTGTGACACCTACCCGAGATGACTATGTCATTAAATTCTTAATAGTACATATAGCCTTTGGATAACCGCTCTTCTGATCTAATTCCTGGTTTTCTTAACATAAACTTTTCTCTGTAATTTACCGTTTATTTACCATAATTGATCACCAAAAGGTACCAAAAGGAAGGGAATTCCCCAAAAATAATTTAAATTTGTAACTTGAGGGTAGACCATGAAATTATATTAAAATACCAACGAGCTGGTTGTAAGTTACAGTTGGTTCTAGTTTGAACTTGAAATAGCGCATGCAATATTCTTTAAGATATGGATCAAAGAAAGATCACGTCATGTAGATTCCAGAGGTTTATGGCAGCTACACGACATCCTCACTTGGTGTAGGAATTCTTCATGAAATGTAACATTACAACTGAGCACCAAAAGGAACCAAAATGAAAAAAAAAGGTTAAGAAACTTCAGGAGTTAATGGATTTTAATTGAGTCAGTAGTTGAAATCAAAATAAAATACTAATAACCTAGGTGAATGACGTATCTTGTCTTACAATGTAGTTTGACCTTTTTGGAATCGCAAATACATTAATTTGTCAAAATATTCCATCAATTTAGACATTCTACGTATATTTTAGAACAACAATTAAATAGTAATACCAGAAAAAGAGCGGGTACTCGTGAGGAAAAGAGCTGAAGTGAATAACTGGTTGGAGAAATTTCAACTCGAATGATTTCTTCTAATGCGTGCATACAGGATAACTCACTCACCTATTTTCTTTCCAGTGATATTGAATGGATTAAATCCAGGAAAGGCGAAGAAATAGACCTCGATAGGTTTCAAAAACGGCTTGGAAAATGCGAAAATCTGCTTCCGTTGACGTGTGGTCAGCCACCCGGTGCAGGCGTCGTACCAACCTTCCATAAGTCCTGAAATGATGCCATGTATAGGATTATTCAAGGTAAAATTTATATTCAAATACTTGAATTTCATTATCATGTTCAACTATAAACAAAAGTAAAACATATTGGGAAAGCTTCAGCCCCAGTCCAATATAGCACAAAACAGTCTCAGTCAATACATATTAGGATAAAACTGAACAAGTTGTATTCAACCTCGATCGCCATATAATTATAAAAGTTGACCTAACTAAAATGAATACCAAACCACTTTGATTATTTCTGACATTAAAGTTTGTCAGCTTCAGTTCACCCAGTCATTAAAAACTCTGCTTCCAAGTGCGATTTTGAAAGAAAGAAAAACATAAAACGAAGCAATATAAGAAATAGGTTTTAACAACCAACTGCTATGGTATAAATAAAAGATTGCTCCATACCTATCCCTCCTCTGTGTGGCTGTCCTCTCTCTGAGAACATGCAGTTGGTGGAAGGCTCCTTGACAACCCTACAATCAATTCCCGCCTCCTGACACACTTAAAAAATTAATAATGGAATGAATAAAATTTTTTAATTAAATAAATAAACCATTAACTTTCAAGTTGATATTTTCGCAGTATTATTGCTATCAATGGATGTTATACAACGAAACAAATTGTTCAAAAGAAAATTTTGATTACCTGCGTCTATTAAGTCGTGATTGAATCCAATTAGGAATCCGCTGACGTCCCTAAAAAGTTATACGGAAAGTTAAATTTATCAGATATGCAGATTTTACCCTCTCTCTCTCTCTCTCTCTCTCTCTCTCTCTGACACACAGACGCACACACACACACACACACACACACACACACACATGCTCCCGCGCATACGGCATGTGGCCAATGCTTCTGCTTACTTATATATATAAGGCCCAGTATCGTATCCAACGGCAATCGTGTAAATTCTTCTATTGTTTGAGGCCTGATATCGGTTGATGGCGTCATAGGCCCTACTGGGTGGCTGATTTTGCTGAATATTTGCCGTTGTACCCTGGATTGTAATGTCAGAGCCAGCAGGGTTGGAGATTGCGACGGCTGAGATGATGAGCGCAATCATCGCAACCAGAACACATGTCACTATGGTTACTGTCAGTATGCGACTGGCTGGAAGAAAGTATATTTAAGCACTTAATCAAATAAGAGACATTCGCAAGTGACAACTCTTAATAAGGATAAGAATGCACACTGTAGAAACCACCTGTGAAGTAAATTGCTGTAGATTATCTCAGTGAAATGCGATGCGTTCAACGAAAGCTTATATCAAGAATGTAATAAGAGTTGATCATACTTTTACAAATTAGTAAATATGTTGGAACTTAAAGTTTGTTAAAACCACCATAGGAGCGTCAAATTTGGTAACCACATATTTTCCATGTTACCTTCCCTTTGGACTTTTATATTGTATTCATCAGTTATGTCATGATTCACATGTTCGCCAAATCATTCTTTGAAAAAAATCTCGCGTACATAAAAATAACTGATTTTATAAATCTTTTCTGGCTAAAGAAAACATTTATCAAAATATTTGGAAAGGCAGGATTACCTTCCAACTGGTTGGTTCTCGTCACATGATTGACATTACTGTCGCTCCTTGCATCTGACATCTTGAATTTGAGGTCTCGAACAAGGACAAATGTAATGTAATCCCTATTCGTTCATGCTAGGCACTAATTATTCCTGTTAACATTAAAAAAAAGAACCAGCTTTCTTATGCAAACGTGACTACTTTTTATACCCTACCAGGTGTGCACAAAGCCTGCAACCAGACACCGAGCACAAGTAAATAATATTCAAATGTTTGTGTTCACTCTTTTACTTGAAATAACAAGTCCCTTGATTAAAATGAACTGCTAATTAACAAAGTGGGAATTCATTAACGAACTGCAAAATCACGGTCTAAAAAGAGTATAAAAAGTCTACTTATCATAAAAACCATCCCTTAATTGATTCCAATGAAATATTGATTCAGATAAAAATTAAACCAGCCTTGGGAACGTCAACGGTGGTTGTTAACTGTCTGGCTTTGGACCTCAGCTTAATTCACATTCACTCCTGTCATAGACCACAGTATTGAAAATATTGTCACATTTTAAATGTTTTATACATGGTGTGGTATTATATTCAATCAGTGGAAAACGTCTGTACAGATTTCGCTCTGAATAAAGGTTTGATTTTTTAAAAAGAAAATTGAAAAACAAATGTTTCTTCACTTATGAACATCACTGTATAAGTACCCTTAAGACTGAAGTTAAAGCCCTAGGAATGCATTAATCAGCAAAAGCGAATAAAAAGTAAATTACAAGCATTTTTACTCCTCTTAATCTTCATGGGATTTTATAGGTCAAAGCTATCACGGTTGCTAAGGTAAAACAGGTATTCTTTCCATTCCTAAATTCAACCACGTTATACTGTACATGTTCCAATAAACGTCTCAGGGCTTGCGTCCAAGTCAGCAAAGTTATCACGAACCAAAAGAAACCGCGTGAGTTGAAAAGCTGAGGTTTTTGCGTGTAAAACTTAATTTTCTACATGATTTCTGAAAAAGTAAAATATTTCGCAAATATGAACCTGCTGAACTATACCATTTTCATTCTGCTGAATGGGGTCGCAGCTAGTTAGATATGGCGCATACCGTTGGCTACGGACTCAACTTAATCCGAGTTTTATAATTGATGGATCCAGCTATAGTAATTCAAAATGTGTATTTGCCTGATACAATTTCCCCCACTCGTATTCGTAAAATATGCCTTCATGTATGTAAATACAACTTGAACAAAAGCATCACCTTTTTCAAATTTTGTTAATACATGTAAGTTAACCTATGGTCTTTGTCGTAGGCCAAAACGAGGCTATAATTTTCATTTATGCCCAAACAAAAAGTTTCAGAATTACCAGTTTCAAATATTTTAACAAATTTTAGTTCTTAGCTTTATATAACCCATATAAATGCATTACCGCAGTCAGCACGGCACCGCTTGGTCGTTTTTCCTTTGCTAAATTAGTCTCTTAAATAAAACCAGAAGCCTCGTGCGTCACATGAAAAATAAAAAATAAAATAGCTAGCTTATTTCGATTATAAAAAGTTCTGTTTTTCTTTTCCGAAGACGACATTTCTTTCATGAGGCTGTTGATTTTGCCAAAAAAAGAAGTTAATAAAATTAGTCAATTGTAATGGTAATGAAATGATGATTACTATTAACTGCAGCGCTGAAGTTATGCATATAAATGTAATAAGCCTGTTGGAATTACAGTTGTGCTTCCTTAAAAAACACTGCGGGTCTGAACTTGATATCACTGGTGGTAATCCTTTCATCAGCTTGAAATTCACACATTATCAATAAATTTTCAGTTCTATCCATTAGATTCCGTGGCCTCTTGTAAGTTCCACAAGTTGCCATAGAAGTTACGGATGCCTCGTCCTGTGGTTTATCTATCAAGGTGAAGGTTACAGATCCCAGCTGTTGTTAGGCATCCACACAGTCAATCTCACCGCGATGACCTGTTGAGACAAACGTTACAATGTATGTGACGTTATATGAAATCACGTGCCGTGTCATGAATGTTATATTTATACATGAAGCATCACCTCAAGCGATATCTTAATTTGATAATAATAATAATAATAATAATAATAATTTATTTTTCTATGGCGCATTCCATTAAAAATCTCAATGCGCCTTACAACATTCACTTAAAAGAGCTAAATAACACAATACTAATATAAGAACACATTACAATTTTAAAGGACTAAGAACTAATTTAAAGAACCAATTATTCATATTCTAAAATGATAAGAACCTAAAGTGACAACATTTAAAATTAATCATAAAATTACAGTACACCTTATTAAAAACTAAAATTAACTATATGATAGCTACTGATAGGCTATTCTAAAAATATGAGTTTTCAAAAGCTTTTTAAAAGTATCTATGTCACCTGCTGCTCGTATTTCAGAGGGTAAAGTGTTCCAAACTTTGGGTGCATATATCATAAATGCCCTTTCACCGTAAAATTTACCAGCTTTTTTCTCTAAGACACTGTGTTCTAAAAGTAAATGACTAAAAGTTGAAGACCTGGTAACTCTTCCATGCTGATGTTGCTTCATAAGTTCTGAGATATAAAGTGGTTTATTCTCAGTGACTGCTTTAAAAATGACACATAAAATTTTAAATAAAATTCTCTCTCTTACTGGAAGCCAGTGAAGTTCCATCAAAACAGGTGTTATATGCTCTCGGCTATTCCATCCCATTTGATAACTTTGTTTTTTCAATGTAATGATTTTGTTTTGATATCCTATAAGGGTAGCTTTGACCGTAAAAAAAAAATAAATAAAAAAAAAATAAATAAAAAAAAAAAAAACATGGGCGTTGTTAACATCCCTTCGTTAGTCTTGAAAACAGCGTCTATTGTAGCGGATCCTTGCGACATCGTTTACATTACCTAGCCTGAATTTGCAATTATCAATATACGAACGGTAAATTAAGTAATAGATCCTTAATTATTATGAACATACTTAGTAATCAAAACTGCCTATTATTACTGACATTGTTAATCAATAGTATTTTTAGACGTACCGTGCTTACTCCGTGCCTCATCACATAGCCGTTTTTAAAAAACGTCCTGAAGAGAAAAGTTTTTCAAACCCTTCATTCCATTTGGAGTTGAAGTCATTGTCTTTACGGGTCATCATTCCAGGTGGTCCGGCATTCTTACAGAACATGGGATCTGAGGGGAACTGTTGGATATTAGTGCCATTGATTTTGTTGGCCAAAACAGTCCCCATGCTAAAACCCACGTCTACCTGTAATGTTTAGGAAGTATTAAATGGTTGGTAAAGAATAGAGCTTATTTCACATTAATGAAAAGGGATCTGAACACTGGGATGTTGTGGGATTTAAAACATATTGGCGTATTAAAAATAGTTACAAAAACAGGTAACATGGGAAAACACTCACAGTGCCGATTTGGATCATAGCCAGGAGTTTGTCAACCGTCTGGGCGTGGAAAACGTTGGAGTGCGGGACGTCTCTTCCAGCCACCTGGTCAAGTCCGGCCAGGCAGGCTTCGTTAGTGAACCAACCGCTTATCAGTCCTGTAATGAGTCGGCATGCATGTTAACACCCATGGTCCGCTTTTAAAAGATTCATGTTTGTAGGCATAGGTCTGGTTAACTTTGATAGTCGCCGAAACAAAGTTTTTTATTTTTAATATTAATGAAAGAGTTTATTGGTCAACAATTGACTTTAAAGACTAGACTTTAACCTGCAAATTGACATTGATTTTTGTTTGTTCTTTTTGAACCCAAAGTACATCAATTGTAGTCTTACATGTATTACATGAAATCTCCCCCCCTCCCCACCCCTTGTAACTTGAGGGTAGACCTTGACATATATATATATTAAAACCTTAACGGCCTGGTTTTAAGTTACATTTAGTCTTATCATCCTTACTTGGTGCATTCATAAAATGTAACCTTACAACTGAGCACCAAAGGGAACCAATATGAAAAAAAAGGTTCAAAAATATCAGGAGTTAATGAATTTTAATTGAGTTGGTAGTGGAAATCAAAATAAAATACTAATAACCTAGGTGAATGGCGTATCTTGTCTTACAATGTAGTTTGACCTTCTTGGAATCGCAGATACAATAATTTGTGAAAATATTCCGTCAATTTAGATATTCTACAGTAGTTCGTGTCTATCTACCCGGTATATTCCAATTAAATAGTAAAACCAGACCAAGACCAGGTACTCGTGATGAAAAGAACTGAAGTGAATAACTGGTTGGAGAAATTTCATCTCTAATTATTTCTTCTAATACGTGAATACAAGATGGCTCACCTATTTTCTTTCCAGTGATATTGAATGGATTAAATCCAGGAAAGGCGTAGAAATAGACCTCGAATGGTTTCAAAAACGGCTTGGAAAATGCGAAAATCTGCTTCCGTTGACGTGTGGCCAGCCATCCGGTGCAGGCGTCGTACCAACCTTCCATAAGTCCTGAAATGATGCCATGTATAGGATTATTCAAAGTAAAATTTAAATTCTAATACTTGAATCCCAATATCAAGTTCAACTATAAATTACATGTATAAACAAAAGATAAACATAAAGAAAAAGCTTCAGTCCCAGTCCAATATAGCACGAAACAATCTCAGCTAAACTATACATTTTAGAATAAAACTGAACAAATTGTCTTCAACCTCGATCGCCATATTAAAGTCGACCTGACCAAAATGAATAGTTTTGTTGCCAGCTTTTCCAAACCACTTTATTTATTTTCTGACATTGAACTTTGTCAACTTCACTTCACCCAGTCATGAAAAACTCTGCTTCTAAGCGCGTTTTTGAAAGAAAAACATAAAACGAAGCAATAAAAGAGACTTGTTTTAAGAACCAAATGCTTTGATATAAATAAAAGAATGCTCCATACCTATCCCTCCTCTCTGTGGCTGCCCTTTCTCTGAAAACATGCAGTTGGTGGAAGGCTCCGTGACAATCCTGCAATCAATTCCCGCCTCCTGACACACTTAAATAATAAATGACTAAATAAATAAATAATGATGAATTAAATAAATAAACAATGGACTTCTAAGTTGATATTTTAGATATTGTTACCAAAGGATATTTAAACAAGAACCAAGCAAATTGTTCAAAAGAAAATTTTGATTACCTGCGCCTATTAGGTCGTGACCGAATCCGACTTGAAACCCGCTGTCGTCACTGAAAAGTTATACGGACAGTTTAAGTTATCAGGTTTGCATATTTTACGCACTTCATCCTTCGCTTTTGCCCCCCCCCCCCCCCACCCCACACACACACACGCACATCTACCCCGTAATGTGAGCTATATTTCTGCTTATTTCTGCTTACCTATATACATAAGCCCCAACATCGAATTCAGTGGCCACTGTGTAAATTCTCCTTCTATTGGAAGCATGACACTGGCTGGCGTCATAGGTACTGGGTGAGTATGCTACTGCAGGCTGGGGAGTTTGTCGAGGACTTGTCGTTTTACCCTGGACTGTAATGTCGGAGCCAGCGGGTTTGGAGATTGCGACGGCTGAGATGATGAGCGCAACTATCGCAATCGGAACACATATTGCTATGGTTATTGTCGTGGTGGCTGAAAGAGAAGAAATAAAGGGATTAACCGAAAAATTATTTTCTCCCTGCATGTGTGAGCTTCCGTACATTCACCATGGTAGAAGTTTGACAGCCAGAAGGGCGTGACACTATCGATGACACCCCTTATACACCCACGGTCAATAAGAAGCGACAAACAGTTTCGCCGACGAATTTTTCTTTAATAGAAATGTTTTATATTTTGATTTCAGTCCATACGTATCATATTCTTACTCCTCTGTATATGTTTACAGAACTGGATCTGCTGGTCATATATCAAAGATTTTATGGATATTATATCAACAGATTTTGTATTGGGCGTTACTGTCGCTGGCATTGCTCTCCATAATGGCGAAACTTGTATGATTTATTTATGTCAATAAAGAGATGGGAAATAACAAATAGTTGTCAGGAAAGAACTATATGGATCACACAGCAGTTCTGTTGCGGTTAGCAAAACGTGATTTCTGAAGATTAGTGTCAATATTATACCGTCGCATTTTTTTTAAAAATGAAATAAATCAATACAGAGTGCTTCTAACTTCATTCCTACAACCAATATAATACGTAAATATTATCTAAAATTTGGCATTCATCTTTTAAAATGGTGTATTTAAACATAATCAAGTACTTAAAGCGCGCGTGAATAGTCATTTGACGTCGCTATTGTTGCTTAGACGAGGGACATGTCTAGCGTATGGATAAGTATGTAATGTACGTGATGCCTTAATGCCCAGTAAAACATTGTTCACATAAAAAAAAAAATATATATATATATATATGCAGTGATCAAATAATATGGTATACGTCCCAACGCAAAAGCTCTAATAGAGTAAACACTTTCAATATTTTTTTCAGTTTGAAAATTGTGGCCTGAAGTACTGTACGTTACCGTATATGTGTGCTTATGGATGAAAGCCATCACTGGTTAGACGAGCAATAAACCGCAAATCACTTTTTACTATCTTGTGCAAATCTTTTCTAAGACAAATTACCTTGGATGGTTCTCGTCACATGGTTGACATTGGTGTCACTCCTTGCATCCGACATCTTGGATTAGAGGTCTTGAGTAAGGACAAATGTAATATAATCTCTATCTGTTCATGCTAGGCACGGATTGTGCCTGTTAACATTAAAAAGAGTAAAAAAGAACCAGCTTACTTATGCAAGTGTGACTACTTTTTATACCCTACCAGGTGTGCATAAAGCCTGCAACCAAAACCGAGTACTGTTGAATAACATTCAAATGTATGTGTTCACACTTTTACTTGAAATAACAAGTCACTTGATTAAAATATACTGCCAATTAACAACGTGTAAAATCACTAACGAACTGCAAAATCACGGTCTAAAAAGTTTAATCACAGAGCAAGAAAAAGCGTACTTATCATAAAAAACATCCATGAATTTATTCCAATGAAGTACTGATTCAGAAAAAAAAAGCAGTAAACCAACCTTGAGGACGTCAATAGTGGTTGCTTACTGTCTGGCCTTGGACCTCAGCTAAATTGACATCCTCCTCCAGTCAGAGACCACAGTATTAAAAATATTGGAATATTTTTAATGTTCTATACATGGTGTGGTATTAAATTCAATCAGTGGAAGAAGTCTGTGCAGATTTCGCTCTAAACAAAGATGTGACTTTTTTAGAAAATTGATAAGCAAATGTTTCTGTATAAGTTCCCTTTAGACTGAAGTTCACGCCATAGGAATGCATTAATCAGCAAAAGCAAATAAAAAGTAAATTACAAGCATTCTTACTCCTCTTTATCTTCATGAGATTTTTTAGGTCAAAGCTGTCACGGTTGCTTAGGTAAAACAGGTATTCTTTCCATCCCTAAATTCAACCACGTTATACGCGTTCCAATACACGTTTAATTGTCTCAGTGCTTGAGTCCAAGTCAGCAAAGTTATCACGAACCAAAAGAACCCGCGTTAATGGCTATGAGTTGAAAAGCTGAGGTTTTTTCGTTTGAATCTTTATTTTCTACATGGTTTCTGAAAAAGTAAAATATTTCGCAAATGAACCTGCCGAACTATACCATTTTCATTCTGCTGAATAGGGTCGCAGCTAGTTAGATATGGCGCATACCGTTGGCTACGGACTCAACTTAATCCGATTTTTAATTGATGGATCCAGCTGTAGTAATTCAAAATGTGTATTTGCCTGATACACTATCCTCCTCTCATATTTGTAAAATATGCCTTCATGTATGTAAATACATGTATAACAACTTAAACAAAAGCATCACCTTTTTCAAATTTTGTTAATACATGTAAGTTAACCTATGGTCTTTGTCGTAGGCCAAAACGAGGCTATGCCCAAACAGGAAGTGTCAGAATTACCTATTTTAAACATTTTAACAAATCGTAGTTCTTAGCATTATATAACCCACTTCTCCTTACCGCAGTCAGCACGGCGCCGCCTGGTCGTTTTTTCTTTGCTAAATTAGTCTATTAAATTAAAAAAGGAGTCTTATGAAAAATAAAAATAAAACAGCTTGTTTCGATTATAAACATTTCTTTCATGAGACTGTTGATTTTGTCAAAAACAAAAAAAGAACTTAATAAAATTAGTCAATTGTAATGGTAATTGTCAACTGCAGCACTGAAGTTATGCATATACATGTAATAAGCCTGTTGGAATTACAGTTGTGCTTCCTTAAAAAACACTGCGGGTCTGATATCGTTGGTAGTCATCTTTTCATCACTATGAAATTCGCACATCATCAATAAATTTTCGATTCTATCCATAAGTTTCATTTATAAATTTCGCCTTGGCTTCTTGTAAGTTCCACAAGTTGCCATTAAAGTTACGGACGCCTAGTCCTGTGGTTTAGCTTTCAAACTGAAGGCCAAGTGATCTAGACATCAGGTTCAGTTTACGGCCGCCCATATCCTTGTTTTAACCATCAAGGTGAAGGTTACAAATTCCTATATTTCTGTGTTGTAACAATCAAGGTCAATGTAACGGATGCATTGTTTTGTGATTCAGCAATCAAGGTGAAGGCTACAGATCCCAGCTGTTGTTAGGCATCCACACACTCTATCTCACCGCGATGACCTGTTGAGACAAACGTTACAATGTATGTGACGTTGGATGAAATCACGTGTCGATCATGAATGTAATATTTATACATGAAACATTACCACAATTAAGCCATATCTTAATCTGATAACTTTTTTTCAATGTAATAATTTTGTATTGATATTCTATAAGGGAAGCTTCGACTGAGGAAAAAAAATATTGGCTTTGTTAACAATCCTTTGTTAGTCTTGAAAACAGAACCTCTTGTGGCGGTTTCTTTCGACACTGCTTACATTACCTAACCTGTACAGTGTATATTTGCAGTTATCAATATACGTATTGTAAATTAAGTAATAAATCCTTAGTTATTAAGAGCATACTACTGGTAATTATAAATAATCAAAACTGCCCAGACGTACCGTGTTTAATCCGTGCCTCATCACATAAGCGTTTAAAACGTCCTGAAGAAACAAGTTTCTCAAACCCTTCATTCCATTTGGAGTTGAAGTCATTGTCTTTACGGGTCATCATTCCAGGCTGTCCAGCATTCTTACAGAACATGGGATCCGAGGGGAAGTGTTGGATATTAGTGCCATTGATTTTGGTGGCCAAAGCAGTCCTCGCGCTAAAACCCACGTCTACCTGTATATTAGGAAGTATTAAATGATTGGTAAAGAAAACATCAAATTTCGACATCACTGAAAAAGGTTCATAATTGTCGAGAGCTGATGCGCCTCAATGTATTTAACCGCTGAAATTCATTAGATGATCTTGAAAACGTATTTGGTTGTAATAACAAATGAATGACGATGGTAAAGCTGGAATATATTTTATACATACAGCATCTGTTTAAACAGTTAAGACTGAGAGGGTTACTTAGTGATGCGAAATATTTCACGTATATATGCAGCTTAACCAGTAGATCATAGTAGCGAGTAGCCTAACGTAGCTTTTCTGGCCAATGTTAAGTCATAAAGCTTATTTCACAATAATGAAAAGGGGTGAAGTCTGAACACTGGGATGCTGTGGGATTTAAAACACATGGGCGTATTAAAAAGAGTTACAAAAAGAGGTAGCATGGGAAAAACACTCACAGTTCCGTTCTGGATCATAGCCACGAGCTCGTCAACCGTCTGGGCGTGGAAAACGTTGGAGTGCGGGACGTCTCTTCCAGCCACCTGGTCCAGTCCGGCTAGACAGGCTTCGTTAGTGAAGAGCCCGCTTATCAGTCCTGTAAGGAGTTAGCATGCATGTTAACACCCATGGGCCGCTTTAGAGACTCGTTTGTAGGCATAGCCCTGGTCAATTTTGTTAGCCGACAAAACAAAGTCCAATTTTGGATATTGGTCACAGAGCTTATTGGTCAACGGTTGACTTTTAACACTCAACTTTGTCTATGCCAATTTTAATTCCGAGGCCGATTCTGACTTTTTTGACGTCGTTAAGGGAACAGGTGTCGGCTTGCGGTTTATTTCATAATAGAACTTTAAAGCGAAAATTGGCCTTGACTTTTGTTTATTGTTTTTCTACCCAAGATACAGCAATTGTAGTTTTATTACATGAAAGCCCCATTCAAGGCAAGGCGTTGCTGTTGTTTCAGATCTATAGATGCGTACATGCACTGTATTTAATGGTATCCAATACGGCATCTTCGCGCCAAATGCTATCCCCCCCCCTCCCAGAAAAATAAAGCAAGTGTGTAAGAACCACAAATGATTTAGACCGCCAAAGTCCTCCTTGACAATTCCATGGACATATGAACTGAAGTTATTTATACTTAAAAAGATTTATTATTCCTAATAGCAGATGCCTTTAAGAAGCAAATGCGGGGTGACAGCTAGAGATAAAAAGTTCATTTCCTTCCTTTTTTGTCCCTGCAATTGTCGCCTTTTGTCCCAAAGCACCCAAACCAACATTCTTTCTTCTGTTACAATAGGTTGAGAAAAGGCTTTTGATTCCGAATAGTGGAAATATATTTATTTTGCAATGTATAATTTTTAAAGTTTTATTGGAGACATTCAAAGTGTATCAAAACCCTATTCTCTTATGTTTCCGCTGTTGTTGGATATGATGGACATCTCGGGGTCGCTAGGGGTCTCAATCAGGGGGATCCTCTATTCCTGTAAATATCCATTATCTGAATAGAAGTGTTCAGTACTGCGGTCAAATTTGACGTAAACATTTATGTAAAGAGATCTTACTTAGTCTGAATACGACATTACACGATACGCTGATGGCAACATATTGAGATGCTCTTCATCGTACTTTAAGCACGAATGAGGACCAGCCGATTTTAGAGATGAGTTAAGGCAGGCGTTCTTAAGTGTTGGGTTCATCTGAGCCAACAAACAGCAGAAACGGGTTCTGTTAGAACCTCAAGAATAGAGGACGTGTGTGACAGCTCCCCGAGATAATGACTATGTCATTAAATTTTTAATAGTACATATCACCTTTGGATAACCGCTTTTCTGATCTAATTCCTGTTTTTCTTAACATTAACTTTTTCCATAATTTGCCGATTATTTAACCATAATTGATCACGAAAAGGTACAAAAGGAAGAAAAAATCCCCAAAAATTATTTAAATTTGTAACTTGAGGGTTGACCTTGAAATTATATTAAAACACCAACGAGCTGGTGAAATCTCACATGCAGTATTCTTAAAGATTTGGATCAAAGATAGATGACGTCATGCAGGTTCCATAGGTTTGTGGCAGCTACACGACATCCTTATTTGGTGTTGGAATTTTTCATGAAATGTAACATTACAACTGAGCACCAAAAAGAACCAAAATGAAAAAAAAAAAAACGTTTAAAATATCAGGAGTTAATGAATTTAAATTGAGTTAATAGTTGAAATAAAAATAAAATACTAATAACCTAGGTGAATGGCGAATCTTGTCTTACATTGTAGTTTGACCTTTTTGGAATCGCAAATACATTAATTTGTGAAAATATTCCATCAATTTATACAATCTATATATAGTTCGGAACTATCTACATGCTATACTCCAGTTAAATAGTAATACCAGAAAAAGAGCGGGTACTCTTGAGAAAAAGAGCTGAAGTGAATAATTAAATAACTGGTTGGAGAAATTTTAACTCAAATTATTTCTTCTAACACGTGAATACAAGATAACTCACTCACCTATTTTCTTTCCAGTGATATTGAATGGATTAAATCCAGGAAAGGCGTAGAAATAGACCTCGATAGGTTTCAAAAACGGCTTGGAAAATGCGAAAATCTGCTTCCGTTGACGTGTGGTCAGCCACCCGGTGCAGGCGTCGTACCAACCTTCCATAAGTCCTGAAATGATGCCATGTATAGGATTATTCAAAGTAAAATTTATATTCAAATACTTGAATTTCAATATTATGTTCAACTTTAAACAAAAGTAAAACATATTGGGAAAGCTTCGGTCCTAGTCCAATATAGCACAAAACAGTCTTAGTCAATACATATTAGGATAAAACTGAACAAACTGTCTTCAACATCGATCGCCATATAAAAAGTTGACCTAACTAAAATGAATACCAAACCACTTTGATTATTTTCTGACATTGAACTTTGTCAACTTCACTTCGCCCATGAAAAACTTTGCTTCCAAGCGCGTTTTCGAAAGAAAGAAAAACATGAAATGAAGTAAGAGCAGAAATTCGTTTTAACAACCATCTTCTATGAGATAAATAAAAGAATGCTCCATACCTATCCCTCCTCTGTGTGGCTGTCCTCTCTCTGAGAACATGCAGTTGGTGGTAGGCTCCCTGACAATCCTGCAATCAATTCCCGCCTCCTGACACACTCAAATAAAGAAATAATTGAATGAATAAAAATGAATAATTAAATGAATAAACCATAGACTTTCAAGTTGATATTTTTCGCAGTGTTACTGTTATCAAGGGGTATTTCAACAAGAACCTTACCTGCGTCTATAAGGTCGCGACCGAATCCAACTTGAAACCCGCTGTCGTCACTGAAAAGTTAGACGGACAGTTTAAGTTATCAGATTTGCAGATTTTATGTAACCCCCCCCCCCCCCCACACACACACACACACATCTACCCCATTTTTTCTGCTTATTTTTACTTACCTATATTCATAAGGCCCAATATCGAATCCAATGGCCAGCGTGTAAATTCTCTTTCTATTGGAGACCTGACACCGGCTGGCGTCATAGGTACTGGGTGAGTATGCTACTTCAGGCTGGGGAGTTTGCTGAGTACCTGTTGTTTCACCCTGGACTGTGATGTCAGAGCCAATGGGTTTGGAGATTGCGACGGCTGAGATGATGAGCGCAACTATCGCAATCGGAACACATATCGCTATGGTTATTGTCGTGGTGGCTGGAAGAAAGAAAGGGATTAACCTAAAAAAATCTTTTATTTTTGTTCTGCATGTGTAAGCTCCCGTACATTCACCATGGTAAAAACTTGACAGCCAGAAAGCATTAAACCATTGATGGCACCCTTTATAGTGCACATGGATGAAAATCCATCACTGCTCAGACGAGCAATAAACCACAAATCACTTTTTTCTAACGGGACCCTCCATATCACACAACGAACTATTCACATAGATAATACACTACCCCTGCACTTTTGTCATCCCTCTGTACATGTTCTACATGCTGAGTATCGGTTTTAATAAATGAAATCGAGTACAGAAAATCGCTACTTTAATAAAATGTTTTCTGGTTAAAGAAAACATTTGTCCAAATCTTTTCTAAGGCAAATTACCTTGGGTGGTTTTCGTCGCATGGTTGACATTGCTGTCGCTCCTTGCATCCGACATCTTGGATTGGAGGTCTTGAGCAAGGACGAATGTAATATAATCTCCATCTCTTCATGCTAGGCACGGATTGTGCCTGTTAACATTAAAAAGAGTAAAAAAAAAAAAAAGAACCAGCTTACTTATGCAAATGTGACTACTTTTTATACCCTACAAAAGGCTACAAGGTGTGCATAAAACCTGCAACCAAAACCGAGCACAGTTAAATAATATCCAAACGTGTGTGTTCACACTTTTACTTTAAATAACAAGTCCCTTGATTGAAATGTAAAGCTTATTAACAAAGCGTAAATTCATTAACAAACTGGGCAAAACCGTGGTCTAAAAAGTTTGCTCACAGAGCAAGAAAACGCTTACTTATCATAAAAATCATTCCTAAATTGATTCCAATGAAATATTGATTCAGAAAATAACAGTAAACCAACCCGTAGGACGTCAACAGTGGTTGTTAACTGTCTGGCTTTGGACCTCAGGTTAATTCACATTCCCTCCTGTCAGAGACCACAGTATTGAAAATATTGTAATATTTTTAATGTTTTATACACGGTGTGGTATTAAATTCAATCGGCGGAAAAGTCTTTCTTTGTCTGATAAAATTCACACATGGGAAACTGAGATGTATAAATAACTTCAGATAATATTTCACACCTAACTGTTCAAATTAATGTCCTGGCGAGTTCGCCTCTTGTACGGGTCCTTTCCGTACTTGTGCGTGACCTCTTTTATGATCAGACAATGTATGAAAAAACCCATGTATGAAACATTAGAAATATATTTTTTTTAATATTTCAACAATGTGGTCACTGGCATCCTGCTGCAACTTGTCAGTAGATCCTGTAACTCATGCGATGGGAGCCTGTATCATTCCAGGCTAAAATCACTCCAGAGCTGTCTGACCATGGGGTTTTTCACTACAGGCTGTCTGTCGTCCAATCATATCCCATATAACCATGTTTTATCATATTGAGATGTGGTGCATATGTGTGCAAATCTAAATGGGAGACGTCATATTTGCAGCGTACAATGTATCTTTCACTGTGTGTGTTTGTGGGGGGTGGGGGGGGTCCTAACCCCCCCCCTCTTTCGATTCCTGAAACAAATCACACCAATGGTCCCCTTTTGAAATAAGAATTTTGATTAAAGCTAAATAATAGTTCTAAACCACACCAAATGACGCCGTTTGTCCTATAAAATACCTAAATTTTTGGAGTCCTTCACTGGGTTCCCCACCGCACGCCAAGGGGGGGGGGGGGGGGGGTCGGCTTTGCATCCGCGGACCCCCCCTTCAAATAATCCTTGATCCGCCCCTGCATGTTGTCTTGCTCTTGCCGACAAGCAGTGATTTTGATCAATGAGTCTGACCGGACGTCTGCTGTCTATAACATTTTTTAATCGTCCTAAAGCGGTTTGTCTGACGCTATTTCGCTACCAGCCAGGAAAATAGTGATACAGAAAACCAGGCCATGAACCAATGTTCTTTATTCAACTTCTAAAAGATTTTTCCACATAAATTTACTGATTGTTCAACCAATGGATAAGCTAACCGATCAAAGCCACTTTTTGGTATTTTGTACAGTATCTTCTGGATTGGAGGATGCACCTGGCCCGTCTGTGCATGGAGTCTAAATATTCTGTAACGTTTGTGCAGTGATGGCGTTCCACATACGGTGCAAAGATAGTATGGCAATGTTTTGTTTGCAGGGTTATCCCCCCCGTTATTCTTTTACGAGGATATTCCAAACAGCACCGCCTGGTCGTTTTTTGCTTTGCTGAGTTTGTAGGCCCTATCTTAAATTAAGTGTGTGTCCACGAGAAAACCAGACCAAATGTAGAAAATGCGGCAAGGTGGGGGTAAACGGATTTACATCATATTTGGTGTGTTTGAACCTTTATATGAACAATATCTGAGGCCGCAATATTTCCTGAAAAAAATCCCTACTTACAGAGATATGGCCAGTGACAATTTGGGGGTATTATCAACCAAAAATTCTTCTGAAAAACAGGGTTATATTGATTGGCCTTAAAGTTTATACAGGTGTCACTAAATGATTTAGTTTGGTGATATATTATAACCTAAAGATAGGGGATTAAAATGATATACACTTTTTTCACTCTCTTTGTTTCCATGGTAACAAACCAAGCGTTTTTCTCAGGCCTGCAAACAACATGCTTTTAACACCCCCTTCTATTTTTGACAATATCTTCATCTTCACAGGTCTTTGGGGTAAAGCGTGTTCAGGACTAACAGATGACTCATTAATCTATTTATACATGAAATCAAAACTTACTGCTGTTCTACAACTTGTCCGTTGTAACAGATAGAACATGACCTAATTTCTTCATTTTTCGTAAATATATCCGGACACATATATCGGTGCACTCAACTTCAGCTATCTCTTTCAAGTCAACAAATGGTTTAAAACACTGTTAGTTGAACTTTTTATTTTAATTTTACCTATTCTAATTTTTTTTTATGGTTAAAACAAGCATCTAACACATTTTAAAATCATGTGAAACTAATGTACTAACGTCAGATCAACACAACGTCATTATCCAACATGGCGGAAATCGCAGACTGTTTGTTTGCAAATCTTCCTCAACGAAGTCGTATATCATGTGGTTTATACTCTGTGTACAGATATAAAAAAACATGTAGTGTATTGAAAAATTGCAACACGGATATTAACAGTCATCTTCGTTGCGTTTACGTGAAGCAAAACAGCGTGAGTTACGAAAGCAAACTGATTCTTGTCAGGTGTGGATTCTTTTGTCTCCGATGATCGCAATTGGACATTTCCAAGTATCTTTGGGATAATAAATGGGTTACACCATGTGACCAGCACTGGGATATGGGCTTGGTTTGTGCTGGAAACCATCCACACAGGGAAAAACGAGCCTATAACGAAATATGTCATGGGATTAACTTGCAGATGTCAGTGTAGACAAAAAGCCATTTGATTGTACTGGTGCCACTTGGTTCAGGTAAGAAACGGGGTTGTTTGTATTTTAATACAGGCTAAAAGCCAGAAAAAAAAAAGTTCACTCAGAAAAATGATCTAGGTGTAATTTAATGGTAAACTGTCCATTTTTTAAAAGAAAAATGCCCCCATTCAAATAATGAAATTGCAGCCTAAGGACCTGTCATAATTTTATCTTTTAAGCTATATTTGTGTGGGTATTTATGTAGGTTTAATGGTATTTGGGTAAAATAAATTTAAGGGTAACAATTAGAATTAGATTGAAGCTATGGCTGGTCTTGGCAAAATTGCTAGGCTCATCATAATTAATATTCGAAACCATGCCTTACTTATAAAACATGGACAAATGGAATAATAATTTATTTTTCATCAATGTATCAATTAACTCTCAGATAAGTGTTTTCATGTGTCTATAGTAAGCTATATTTATATTTCAGGCATATTTGAGAAGTGTTATTTGACACACAGTGATCTTATGGTCAGCAAAAGAGTCCAAAGCCTTGCAGAAACTGAAACTAGTGTGGAAATGACGGATGTTGTAGAAAGGCATGTATGTAAATGAAAGCCACAATATAACAAATGCTGAGGAGATGCATGAGGCCCTAGTTTCTGCAGTTGGAGCCATTTTCTACATCCAGCTAGACAGACATCTTCCAAACCTGCGTGGACTGGAGTGTCCAATTACAACAAATTGGCTTTCTTGATTCCTCAACATGAGAAAAGGCGTCTCCCTCCCATGAGCAGTTTTAACATGAGTGATACTTGGTTAATTTTGGTTTTTCTGAGGCAAATGTGCCAACTGGGACTATACCAAGCAAGATCACAAACAAGGAAATTTTTCTTTTCCAGAGAAGTCTTCTCTGAAATCTTTTGCTACCAAGACTGAAGAGTAATTGTAAGGTCTTTTTTTAGACCACAGTTATGAAATGTTCCAAAAAACAGCTTTTCATCAAATTAAAGTCTAGTGGGCCAACAATCTGACTAAAGAAAAACTTAAAGCACATCAGCTGTGAGAGAACGCCACTCTTTTGAATATCTCACTGAGTTACACAATGGATAAGCTTTAAAGTCATCTAAATTAACCTTTGAAACTATATTCAAATAAAGTAAAGGAGTTTTTACTGAAGGAGTTTAGAAAGGCACAAGAAACAGGCCAGCAGAACCTAGCATTTGTGAGCTTGAAGATGAGATTGAAATGTCAGTAAGGAGGGTTACAGACTACTCAGGAAGAAAAAATCGGCAGTTATTTTTGAATGTATTAAAAACTTTGATGTTATGAGCTGTAATGTTTGATATAAAACTGCAAAGATGTTTCATAACACCAGGATATATCTTGCGGTTGTGTTAGTTTTGCTTTTTGAATAGAAAATTATCTTGTTTTGCTACATTATGATATAGTTTGTAATGATCACAACTAATGTTGCACTGCTTTGCATGTTTTGCTGTATTATAATTTTGTGATTTTTTTTATTATTTGTAATTATTCATCTGAGACAACAATAAACTAAATTGAATAATTTTTTAGTTACTGTATGCTCATAAATAGTCACCAAAAAGTGGTGTGGATGATTAAAAAAACCTCATGATAATTAAAAAAGATTTGTTCAGGCTTTGCTCTCATAAATACTATGGCATATCCTGATCTCTATATGATAAATATTGCACCAAAAGAAATCGCTACTAAACTAAGATTTTAATTTGTATTCACCAAATTGATGATATTAAAAATATATATAATAAAATTATCATGTAAACTCTCAAGTTAATTGCCAGTGCCTATCCAAAGTAACAGAATCTAAGATTTATTTCCTCTAAACTTTTTGTCCATACAAATTAAAAAGTCCACATATGGCAATTTACAAATATGAAGCCCAGTGACCTTGACCTATGACCCACTGGCCTGATATTCATTAGTACACATCCACTTTCCATGCTCACCAGCCCTATTAATTTAGTAACATCATTGTAGAGCAAAATGGTTTAATAAATTAACCAAACCCATTGTCTACATAGACTTGAAAGAATCCACCAGGATTTTTTGCCTTAAAAATGGCCAACTTTGGGGGTATTTTTCAGTACCTGTTTTAATACAGCAGTNATAGCCTCGTCCTGTGGTTTAGCTATCAAGATGAAGGTCATAGATATCTTCTGGGATTAAGACATCAAAGTTCAGGTTACGGCCGCCTACATCTTTGTTTTAACCATCAAGGTGAAAGTTACAAATTCCTATATTTCTGTCTTGATACCATCAAGGTGAAGGTAACGGATGCATTGTTTTGTGATTTAGCAATCAAGGTGAAGGTTAAAGATCCCAGCTGTTGTTAGGCATCCACACAGTCAATCTCACCGCGATGACCTGTTGAGACGAACGTTACAATGTATGTGACGTTAAATGAAATCACGTGTCGATCATAAATATAATATTTATACATGAAATAATATCTTAATTTATAACTTTGTTTTCAATGTAATGAATTTGTCTTTTTATCATATAAGGGTATCTTCGACCGTGAAAAAAAAAAGATTGGCTTTGATCACAACCTTCTGTTAGTCTTGAAAACAGCGTCTATTGTGGCAAATCCTAGCGACATTGCTTACATTATATAGCCTGAATTTTCAATATTTTATACACGTATAGTGTAAATTAAGTACAGAAAAATAGATCCTTAGTTGTTTTAACAACTTAAAACTTAAAAGAACATAGGCCTACTAAGTAATCAAAACTGCCTAATATTATTGATATTGTTAATCAACAGAATAGCCCAGACGTACCGTGCTTGATCCGTGCCTCATCACATAACCGTTTAAAACGACCTGAAGAGACAAGTTTCTCAAACCCTTCATTCCATTTAGAGTTGAAGTCATTGTCTTTACGGGTCATCATTCCAGGCTGTCCAGCATTCTTACAGAACATGGGATCCGATGGGAACCGTTGGATATTAGTGCCATTGATTTTGGTGGCCATAGCAGGCCCCGTGCTTAAACCCACGTCTACCTGTAAGATTAAGGAAGTATTAAATGATTGGTAAAGAATAGAGCTTATTTCACAATAATGAAAAGGGGCGAAGTCTGAACACTGGGATGCTGTGGGATTTAAAACATACTGGCGTATTAAAAATACTTACAAAAACAGGTAACATGGGAAAACACTCACAGTTCCATTCAGGATCATAGCCAGGAGCATATCAAGCGTCTCGGCTTGGAAAACGTTGGAGTGCGGGACGTCTCTTCCAGCCACCTGGTCCAGTCCGGCCAGGCAGGCTTCGTTAGTGAAGAACCCGCTTATCAGTCCTGTAAGGAGTTAGCATGCATGTTAACACCCATGGGCCGCTTTTAAAAGACTCATGTTTGTAGGCATAGGTCTGGTTAACTTTGATAGCCCACGAAACAAATTTCATTTTTTGGATGCTGTTTGCAGAAATCAGAGCCTCGAAGAATATAGGTTGTCATCCAGGTGTGCGACAGCTACCCGAAATAACGACTATGTCATTAAATTCTTTTAATATTAAAATTAAAATGGTACAAACTGCCTTTGGGTGACTGCTTTTCTTCTCTAATCCCTGTTTTTTTTTAAATGACATAAACCTTTCTCTATAATTTGCCGATAATTTAACAAATTCATAACTGATCACAAAAAGGTACCAAAAACAAAGAAAAATCCCTGAAATAATTTGTAACTTGAGGGTAAACCGTGAAATTATATTAAAACACTAATGGGCTGATTTAAAGTCTTTGGTCTTAGTTTGAACTTAAGATCGCACACACAATATTCTTTTAGATTTGGATCTAAGATAGATGGCGCCATGCAGGTTTCGAAGGTTCTTGACAGCTACAAGACATCCTTACTTGGTGATGGAATTCTTCATGAAATGTAACATTACAACTGAACACCAGAAGGAACCCAAACGAAAAAAAAATCAAAAATATCAGGAGTTAATAAATTTTAATTAATTTAGCAGTTGGAATCGTAATAAAAAACAAATAACCTGGGTGAATGTTGTATCTTGTTTTACAATGTAGTTTGACCGTACCATTTTGAAATCTCAAATACAATATTCTGTTAAAATATTTCATTAATTTATACATTCTACATGTAGTTCGGGACTATCTACCAGATACACTCCAATTAAATAGTAAAACCAGAACAAGACCAGGTACTCGTGATGAAAAGAGCTGAAGTGAATAACTGGTTGGAAAAAAAATTAATTCAAATTACCTATTGTTATATGTGAATACAGCATAACTCACCTATTTTCTTCCCAGTGATATTGAATGGATTAAGTCCAGGTAAAGCGTAGAAATAGACCTCGAATGGTTTCAAAAACGGCTTGGAAAATGCGAAAACCTGCTTCCGTTGGCGTGAGGCCAGCCACCCGGTGCAGGCGTCGTACCAACCTTCCATAAGTCCTGAAATGATCCCATGAAGAGACAAAATCCCGGATAAAATTTACACTCCAATACTAATACTAATTTCAATATCATGGTCAACTATAAACCACAAACAAAAATTTAACATATAGGAAAAGCTTCAGATCTACATGTAGTCTAATATATCGCCTAACAGTCTCAGTTAATCTATACATTTTAGAATTCTAAGCGCGTTTTCGAAAGAAATGAAATATAAAACAAAGAAATAAAAGATATTCGTTTTGACAACCAACTGCCATGAGATAAATAAAAGAATTCTCCATACCTATCCCCCCTCTCTCTGGCTGCCCTTTCTCTGAGAACATACAGTTGGTGTATGGCTCCGTGACAATCCTGCAATCAATTCCCGCCTCCTGACACACTCAAATAAATAAATAAACCATTGACTTCCAAGTTGATATTTTTCAGAGTATAATTGTTATTTAATGATACATAAACAAGAACCATACAAATTGTTCAAAAGAAAATTTTGATTACCTGCGTCTATAAGGTCGTGACCGAATCCAACTTGAAATCCGCTGTCGTCACTGAAAGATTATACGGACAGTTTAAGTTATCAGGTTTGCATATTTTACGCATCTCCCTCCCCCACGGTGGTGGATTTAGGGGGTGTCGGTCCTGACCCCCCCCCTCGATTTCTGAAAAAAAGTCGCAACAATGGTCCGTCTTGAAATTAGACTTTTTACTAGCTACCTACCCCATTTGCTCTGCCCCCCCCCCCACACACACACACAAACACACAGACACACACTCACATCTTCCCCGTTATGTGAGCTATATTTTTTGCTTACTTATATTCATAGGGCCCAATATCGTATCCAGCGGCCACTGTGTAAATTCTCCTTCTATTGGAGGCCTGACACCAGCTGGCGTCATAGGTACTGGGTGAGTATGCTATTGCAGGCTGGGGAGTTTGCTGAGTAATTGTTGTTTCACCCTGGACTGTAATTTCAGAGCCAACGGGTTTGGAGATTGCGACAGCCGAGATGATGAGTGCAATTATCGCAATTAGTACACATATCATAATGGTTGTTGTCAGTACGCAGGTGGCTGGAAGAGAAGCAATAAAGGGATTAACCTGAAAAATTATTTTCTTCCTTCATGTGTGAGCTCCCGTACATTCACCATGGTAGAAACTTGACAGCCAGAAGGGCGTGACACCATCGATGACACCCTTTACACTGGTAGTGCGCATGGATGAAAATCCATCAAGGGTTAGACGACCAACAAACCTCAAATCACATTTAACGAACAAATGCCAATACAGTCATTCGTGTTCCCGCCCAAGGATTCAGTAAATGTAATATGCTGCACAGCGACCTATTCACATAGATGGTGCAATGCCCTTGTACTTATGTTACCCCTCCGTACATGTTCATCATGTTCGTACGGTTCCAATAATTGAAATCGAGTACAGAAAATCTCTGCTGTAGCTGTCTGGTGAAAAGAAAACATGTGTCGTAATCTTTTTAAGGCATATTACCTTGTAGTTGGTTGGTTCTCGTCTTGAGATTGACATTACTGTCGTGCCTTGCATCCGACATCTTGGAACAGGGGTCTCTATCAAGGACAAATATTATCCACTTGCTCATGGAAGGCACAAATTATACAGGCACTGCCTGTTTTGATTTGAAAAAAGAGTCAAGAATGAATTATGCAAATGCGAATACAGTACTTAGTGTTCCCGACAAAGGATTCAGTAAATGTGATATGCTGAAAGGAAGGTTTAAATATACTGTATGCCTTCACGGTTTAATTTTAAATCATTAACCCAAACCCTTCCCCCAACCGTGTTGAAATAAACTGCCTACCAAGATGAAGCTAAGACTGATGGCATGTTTTCTCCAGCAAAAGCGAAAAAAAGGAAAATTGCTAGCTTTTTATTATGTCGTATGAATCTTGTTTTAAAGGCAAATGCAGTCGCGGATGGTTGGTTAAAACTGGCACTCTTCCCATTTTCAAATTAGCCATATGCTTCACGTGTGCGTGTTCCAATACACGTTTGTCTCAGTGCCAAATGTAAATAAGTTATAATACTGATGCATTTATGAAGATCTATTATAAAGATGTAAAATATATAATCAATAAGTTTTCAGCCCCTAGGCCTTCTTCAGGGATTTTACGATCTCAACGGTGATTTGATATGAATCTTCCCAGTGCCATGGACACAAATATTATAAAGGAAAACATCAAGGGAAGCGTGTCTCCCCGCAGGCCGCATACAGTACGTGGGAAATGTAACATTATACCACTAGTGGATTTTGTTGACTGTGTAATAACAAGGAGCCTTTCTTTCCATCTGTCTTTCTTATATAATATAATATAATATAATATAATATAATATAATATAATATAATATAATATAATATATAATGCAACTTCCAATTATATTTTGCCTTTCTGGTAAAAAAAAGGGAAAAACTGCCATCATAATTTAAAACGGGGTAGCCAGGGTAAATTTTTTTTCAAAGGGTTAAATATTACTTCTTCAAATGTACGTGTCCTATTTCGAAAGTATAAAGTAGCACTGATTAAACTACCACAAGTAATTAAGTTGTCGAGAGTGAATTTATTTCATTGCGTACAACCTGCCTTACTCTAATTTAAAATGCAGATAACAAACTTGCATCATTTGAAATAAAAGAGAGATTTAAAAGCATGAATTTACCGAATAACTAAACCTACATTCGTGTATCATTTTGATCATATGTAGCAGAGGCTGCTGGTTAAGCTAGCCACTACTAAGAAATTGCAAGAAGTTACGTAACAATAGAAACGGCCAAAATCCAAAACTTCTTTTTTTAGTAAGGCAAATAATTGGTATGTGTATAAAGGGGACGCTGAATTGTCAATTTTAGCCTTTTGTTGGTCATTTTGATATAAGCATGAAATTTTGTTGGATGTTCGGTTTATCAATTAGTTATTTAGAGATTCCTTCTTGACAAATTTCACAGTTTGTCATCAAGGTGAAGGTAAAGGATGAATCTCGTCAAAGTGCAGGTTACGGATGTCTAGTCCTGTGGTTCAGTCATCAAGTTGAAGGTCACGGATGTCTAGTCCTGTGGTTGAGCCATCAAGGTGAAGGTCACGGATGTCTAGTCCTGTGGTTGAGCCACCAAGGTGAAGGTTATGGATGTCTAGTCCTGTGGTTCAGTCATCAAAATACAGGTTACTAAAGCTTACTTCTGAGGCTTAGTCACCAAGATGAAGTTTAAGAATATCAAGTCGAATGGTCTAGCTATCAAGGAGAAGGTTACGGATGTATGTTGTTTAGGCATCCACACAGTTAATCTCACCGCGATGACCTGTAGAGACAAAAGTTATGTGACGTACATGTAGAATGAAATGAAATCACGTTTCTATTCAAACGAAAACAGGTCCGTAGCCGAAGGGGTGGGGTGTCAGGGGGTTTGAACCAGCCAGGGAAGGGTCTGATCTGGGAAAATGATAAAAGTGTATGAAGGTTTCATCGTAAAAGGTCAATTTTTGTCAGTAAAAGACCCCCCTTTGGAATTGCTGGCTACGGGCCTGTGAATATGATAATTTTCTCCAAGATTGTCCTCCAAGATATCATGCTCTACAATGTAAAGATTATGTGCCCTGATGTGAAAAACAAGACAGCTACATGTACATGTATGCTGACAAATAAACATCAACTAGTCAATTTACTACCGACGTTTGTACTCACAGGAACCCCAAACCTAAACGGATCTCGTTTTGTTGACCTCAAACGCCTACATATGAAAATGCATGTTTTAAAAGTATGATCGTTGTTTACAATCCTTTGCTAGCCTTGAAATTAGCGCCTCTTTTGACTTACCCTGCCTGCATTTTAGTCACACCAATTACCATATTATAAAGAGAAATTTTAATTAAAAGGATAATAACTCTTCGTATGAGTTCTATATTTCACAATAAAAACATTGTGAACAACTCATAGAAATATAATATAATATATTCTGTTTTACCACAAAAACGGCAGCTATGGCTATTATTCTGATATCTGAGCTTGTCTTTAGACCACATGACCTCCATCGATGGCTAAACTCTGTTATAATCTCTTAAGAGATTATAACAAAAAAAAAACCAAACTTTTTAGAAAAAAACCAGGGACTAAGAGCGGATTCTCAACGATTTGAGCCAGGCTTTACAAAGCCGGTGACCTAAAAATGGCGGACGTACATGAAAGAAAAACCGCCTAATCTTTTAATAGTCTCTCCGCCTCCCCACACGTCGTCCCTGCGGGGTACAGTAATTAAATCTCGGCTCCAACCTCCAACTACGTCTACTGGGGCTGGGTAGTTCTATGAATATCTCTGGTGATATTATCTCCGTAGATAGTCGATTCGTTGCTGCTCTACGGGCCAATTCATTCCTTTTTCGTCTCTGTTTTGACAGATAATAAAACAGAAGAGCTTTTTTCCTTCGAACGCCTTCAGCCGCCATGCTTTCTTCACCACGAGTTTAACTGATGAGCATGCGCACTTAATATTTCTCAGGTAGCTTCCGCATGGCGAACGGAGCCGAGATTTAATTACTGTATCCCGCAGGGACGACGTGTGGGGAGGCGGAGAGACTATTAAAAGATTAGGCGGTTTTCTTTCATGTACGTCCGCCATTTTTAGGTCACCGGCTTTGTAAAGCCTGGCTCAATTCGTTGAGAATCCGCTCTAACTTTGAATGTAAAAATGGATTCATTAACCATTGGTAAGTATGGGAAAATTGTTGTTAACTCCAGGAAAATTCTTTTTTTTTTTTTTTTTTGGGAGGGGGGGGGGCAGAACGTTAGAGTTATTATCCCTTTAATGTGCTAAGTAACTACGACTGACCTTGCTTATCAACAGATTTACTCCGACTTACCATGTTTGGTTCGTGCCTCATCACATAGGCGTTTGAAACGTCCTGAAGAAACCAGTTTCTCAAACCCTTCATTCCATTTAGAGTTGAAGTCATTGTCTTTACGGGTCATCATTCCTCCTCCTGCGGCATTTTTACAGAAGATGGGGTCCGAAGGGAACCGTTGGATATTTGTGCCTGAGATTTTGGTGTTTAACGCATATCCGGCTCCAAACCCCGCATCTACCTGTAAAATTTAGGCAGGAGAAAATGATTGCTGTTGAAAACAATTCACCATCACTTAACTGCAAAGTTTAAATTGTCGACTCGACGAGAGATTGTATACTAAAATGTGGTTCAACGCTAATTGAGCTTGGAAATACATCTGGTCACCGCATAGCCGTTTAAATGACGATGGTAAAGCCGAAATTGGGCAACGGAAGAGATGTGTAATGCACGATCACAATCAGTTTCATTGACATTTCTTCATCAACGCTTCGTCCTCTCAGTCTTGGACATTTAAAACCAACTTAAAGTCATGCAAGAATGCCGTAAAAAAACCGGTATAACTTTTTGCCCAGTTTAATGATGTAAGAAAAAAAAACGCACTATCTTCTACGAGCGCTACAGGCCGTTGCCGCAGGGGCCTAGCAATTAAACCTCGGAGCAGAGATTTAATCCGTTTAAAGGTGCGTGTGGAGTCGGAGAGACCATCAGGAGTCAGCGGCATCGCTTTTGAACTGTGGTCTGCCATATTTATTCGGCGGATCAGCAGGTACTCGGATCATTCTTTCTGAATGGCCCCTAAGTAACCAATAAGCGTGTTCTCAACAACAGTCCCTCACTAAATTGCTCGTGCTCCCAAACAATTGGAAAATGGAAAGAGGGTTTTAAAAAAGTCTAAAGACTGGAATGCTGGCAGCAAAGTCTCCACCCAATGCCGTTTCACCCCTTCATTTTCAATCTATAATGATTTAGTTTTTTGATTATTGATTGATTATTGATCCGGATCACCACCAAAAACTAATCATCTGTACATTGGCCCACTTCTGTCAGTTGCTGAAAATTTCATCAAAATCGGTCCATAACTTATCTTTTATTTTTGATTATTGATTGATTATTGATCCAGATCACCACCAAAAACTAATCACTTTTAAGTTAACTCATTTCTGACCTCCCCTGAAAATTTCATCGAAATTCATCCATAACTTTTTGAGTTATGTTGATGACAAACAGACAGACAAACAAACAAACAAACAAACAAACAAACAAACAGGGGTGAAAACATAATCTCCTTGGCGGAGGTAATAACAGTGTATTATCGAATTCCGAAGGAATGTTACAAATCTGGCAACATAGTAAAGGACTTACAGTTCCGTTCTGGATCATAGCCAGGAGCTCGTCAAGTGTCTGGGCGTGGAAAACGTTGGAAGGTGGGACTTTTCTTCCAGCTACCTGGTCCAGTCCGGCTATGCAGGCTTCGTTAGTGAACCAACCGCTGGCCAGTCCTGTAAGGAGTCAGTATACAACAAACATGGCTCGAAGAGGATAAATAAATATAATATAAATGGACACTTACTAACTTGGTCGTATTGCACAATGCACCGACAGGAGTTGGCAACATAAAATAAACAGTCCCTTGGCTTCTTTAAGTGTCTTTTAATCTATTAGTAAAATACCAGGTACTCGGGACTGGGAGAGTTGAAATGAGAATGACTGGTCGCAGAAATTTTTAATTCGAATGTCAGAGTACATGTTAACTAACTTATTTTCTTCCCTGTGGTATTGAATGGGTTAAATCCAGGAAAGTCGAAGAAATAGACCACGAAAGGTTTCGTATGTGAGTGCTGCTACACTGCTGCTGATATTGTAAGATGTGCCCATGTACCCATGTAACCTTGGTAAACAAGTTCTTAGCCAGAGAACCTGACTTTTTTTTTGTGAAACCGGGGCCTGCAGAATCGGGTTAAGTCAGAGCCTCGAAGAATAGAGGACGTCATCCGGGTGTGTGACAACTACTGAGATAACGACTATGTCATTAAATTTTTAATGGTACAAATTGCCTTTGGGTGACTGCTTTTCTTCTCTAATCCTTGTTCTCGTTAACATGACATACACCTTTCTATATAATTTACCGATAATTTAACAAATTCATATAGCTGATCTCGGAAAGGTACCAAAACGAAGAAAAATAATTTGTAACATGAGGGTAGACCATGACATTATATTAAAATCTTAACGGCCTGGTTTTAAGTTACATTTGGTCTTAGTTTTAACTTAAAATCGTACATGCAATATTCTTTAAGATTTGGATCAAAGATAGATGACGCCATGCAGGCTCCGAAGGTTCGTGGCATCTACAAGACATCTTTAATCGGTGTTGGAATTCTTCATGAAATGTAACATTACAACTGGACACCAGAAGGAACCCAAATGAAAAAAATTATAAGGAGTTCATAAATTTTAATAAAGTTAGCAGTTGGAATCGTAATTAAAAAAAAAAAAAACAAATAACCTGGGTGAATGATCTAGCTTGTCTCATAATGTAGTTTGACCTTTAAAAATCTCAAATACAATGATCTGTTAAAATATCTCATTAATTTATACATTTTACGTGTAGTTCGGGACTATCTACGCGATACACTCTGATTAAACAGTAAACCAGACCAAGACCGGGTACTCGAAATGAAAAGAGCTGAAGTGAATAACTGGTTGGAAAAGATTTAATTTAATTCAAATAACCTCTTCTTATATGTGAATACAGTATAGCTCACCTATTTTCTTCCCCGTAATATTGAATGGATTAAATCCAGGAAAGGCGTAGAAATAGACCTCGAATGGTTTCAAAAACGGCTTGGAAAATGCGAAAACCTGCTTCCGTTGGCGTGAGGCCAGCCACCCGGTGCAGGCGTCGTACCAACCTTCCATAAGTCCTGAATGATCCCATGAAAAGACAAAACCCCAGATAAAATTTTTACTCCATTACTTGAATTCCAATATGTTCAACTGTAAACCAAAAACAAAAATTTAACATAAAGGAAAAACTTCAGTTCTAGTCCAATATATCGCCTAACAGTCACAGTTAAACTATACAGTTTTGAATTCTAGCGCGTTTTCCAAAGAAATGAAATATTAAGCGAATAAATAAAAGATATTCGTTTTCACAACTTACTGCTATGATATCAATAAAAGAATGCTCCATACCTATCCCCCCTCTCTCTGGCTGCCCTTTCTCCGAGAACATACAGTTGGTGTATGGCTCCGTGACAATCCTGCAATCTATTCCCGCCTCCTGACACACTCAAATAAATAAATAAATAATTAAATAAACCATTGACTTCCAAGTTGATATTTTTAAGAGTGATTCTTATCACAAGATATTGAAACAAGTACCAAATAAATTTTTCAAAAGAAAATTTTGATTACCTGCGTCTATTAGGTCGTGACCGAATCCAACTTGAAACCCGCTGTCGTCACTGAAAAGTTAGATGGACAGCTTAAGTTAGCAGCTTTGCACCTCCCTACCCCCCCCCTTTGCTCCCCCCTTACACACACATATCTACCCCGTTATTTGAAAGATATTTCTGCGTATTTTTACTTACCTATATTCATAAGGCCCAATATCGAATCCAATGACCACTGTGAAAATTCTCCTTCTATTGGAGGCCTGACACCGGCTGGCGTCATAGGTACTGGGTGAGTATGCTACTGCAGGCTGGGGAGTTTGCTGAGTACTTGTTGTTTCACCCTGATCTGTAATGTCAGAGCCAATGGGTTTGGAGATTGCGACGGCTGAGATGATGAGTGCAATTATCGCAATTAGTACACATATCATAATGGTTGTTGTCAGTACGCAGGTGGCTGGAAGAGAAGCAATAAACCCAGCGGGCACTCAACGTTGATTCAACATTGAGGATAGGTTGAGATGATATTGATCCATCAATATTGATAAATCAACAAGATTTCAACATTGAATCAACCTTTTCTTGTCAACCAATTGTCAATGTTGATAGATCAACAGGGTCTCAACATTGATTTTACCTTTCTTTGTCAATCAATTTTCAATGTTGATAAATCAACAGGATTTCAACATTGAATCTACCTTTTCTTGTCAACCAATTGTCAATGTTGATAGATCAACAGGGTCTCAAAGATTGATTTTACCTTTCTTTGTCAATCAGTTTTCAATGTTGATAGATCAACAGGATTTCAACATTGAATCAACCTGTGTTTGTAAACCCTTTGTCAATGTTGACATATCAACTATATCTCAACNAAGGGATTAACCTGAAAAATTATTTTCTTCCTTCATGTGTGAGCTCCCGTACATTCACCATGGTAGAAACTTGACAGCCAGAAGGGCGTGACACCATCGATGGCACCCTTTACACTGGTAGTGCACATGAAAATCCATCAGGGGTTAGACGAGCAACAAACCCCAAAGCACTTTTCACGAACGGGTTCCCTATGCCGCACAGCGACCTATTCACATAGATGGTGCAATACCCCTATACTTTTGTCACCCCTCCGTACATGTTCATCATGCTGAGTATCTGTTCCAATAAATGAAATCGAGTACAGAAAGTATCTGCTGTAGCTGCCTGGTGAAAAGAAAACATTTGTCCTAATCTTTTTAAGGAATATCACCTTGTAGTTGGTTAGTTCTCGTCTCGAGATTGACATTACTGTCGTGCCTTCCATCCGACATCTTGGAATAGGGGTTTCTATCAAGGACAAATATTATCCACTTGTTCATGCAAGGCACGAATTGTACAGGCACTGCCTGTTTTGATTTAAAAAAGAGTGAAGAATGAATTATACAAATGCGAATACAGTACTTCGTGTTCCCGACAAAGGGTTCAGTAAATGTGATATGCTGAAAGGAAGGTTTAAATATACTCTATGCCTTCACGGTTTAATTTTAAATCATTAAACCAAGCCCCTCCCCAACCGTGTTGAAATAAGCTGCCTTCCAAGTTGAAGCCAAGACCGATGGCATGTTTTCTCGAGTAAAAGCGAAAAAAAAGTAAATTGCTAGCTTTTTATTTTTGTGCCTTATGGATATTCTTTTAAAGGCAAATGCAGTCGTGGTTGGTTGGTAGGTTAAAACTGGCACTCTTCCCATTTTCAAGTTTGCCATGCTTTACGTGTATGTGGTCCAAAACACGTATATCTCGCTACCATGGACACAGATATTATAAAGGATAACATCAAGGGAACCATGTCTCCCTGCAGGTCTCATACTGCACGTGGGAAATGTTACTTTAAACGACTACAGGATTTTGTTCACCACGTAATCACAAGGAGATTTTCCTTCTACCTGTCTTATATAATATAATATAATATAATATAATATAATATAATATAATATAATATGCAACTTTGAATTATTTACTCGCTTTTCTGGCAAAAAAGGGGAGACTGCCATAATGCTTCAGAACGGGGTTGCTGGGGTATGTAACTTTATTTTTCTTTATAAGTCTGAAATATTTTTTTCATCGTACACGTAAGTGTCCTATTTCGAAGGTCGAGAATAGGACTGATTATACTACTACAAGTAAATTGTCCAGAGTGAATTTATTTCTTTGCGTATAACTTGTCTTGCCCTAATTTAAAATTCGCATAACAAACTTGCTTCATTTGAAATAAAAGGGAGATTTAAGCATGAATTTACCGAGCAAATTAGCCTTAATCCGTGTATCATTTTTATTATATGTAGCAGATGCTGCTGGTCAAGTTAGCCACTACTTGGAAATTGCAAAAAAGTTACGTAACCATGGAAACGGCCAAAATCCAAAATATCCGTTTTAACAAGGCAAATAATTTGTATGTGCATAAAACTGCCAATTTTAGCCTTTTGTTGGCCATGAAATTTTGTTGGATGTTCGGTTTTATCAATTAGTTATTTATAGATTCCTTCTTGACAAATTTCACAATTTGCCATCAAGCTGAAGGTCAGGGATGTCTCTTGTCAAAGTGCAGGTTACGGATGTCTAGTCCTGTGGTTTAGCCATCAAGGTAAAGGTCACGAATGTCTACTCCTGTGGTTAAGCCATCAAGGTGAAGGTTACGGATGTCTAGTCCTGTGGTTAAGCCATCAAGGTGAAGGTCACGGATGTCTAGTCCTGTGGTTGAGCCATCAAGGTGAAGGTCACGGATGTCTAGTCCTGTGGTTGTGTCATCAAAATACAGGTCACTGATGCTTAGTTCTGAGGTAAAGTCACCAAGATGGAGTTTATGAATACCTAGTCGAATGGTCAAGCTATCAAGGTGAATGTTACGGAAGTATGTTGTTTAGGCATCCACACAGTTAATCTCACCACGATGACCTGTAGAGACAAAAGTTATGTGACATACATGTAGAATGAAATACAATGACGTTTTTATTCAAACGAAACCCGAATACAGGTCCGTGGCTGGGGGGTGGGGGGGGGGTTGGGGGGGGGGGGTTACCGTGGTAATTATCAAGAAGCACGTAATATCAGAACCTAAAAGACAATGGAATATATCCAAACTGTCACTGGCAATGGTAACTTTCATTAGTCCATTTATACACGATGTAATGCACCAACCAGATATTCAAAAAGATTATGCTCATGCCCGTTTCATGAAGGCTACCGAACTGTCTGCGAAACTGCATAAGACGGCGATATGTATTGCCGCTTGGTAAACCCTTTGACGTCATACAAATGAAAGTGTCCATATAAGGCTTACAGATCCATATGGCTACGTTAATAGAAAATAATAAGTAGTGTCATTTTAGTACCGACGTTTGTACACAAAGGAAACCTAACCAAAAAAGATCTCGTTTTGTTGACCTCAAACGCCTACATATGAAAATACGTGTTAAGTATGGTCTTTGTTAACAGCCCTTTGCTACATGTAGCCTTGAAATCAGCGCCTCTTTTGACTTACCCTGTGGACACTGCCTGCATTTTTAGTCACACCAACTACCACAATGTTAAGAGATATTAATTGAGGTGGTAAGCAACGAAGACTGACATTGTTTATCAACAGATTTACTCCAGCTTACCGTGCTTGGTTCGTGCCTCATCACATAGGCGTTTGAAACGACCTGAAGAAACAAGTTTATCAAATCCTTGATTCCATTTAGAGTTGAAGTCATTATCTTTGCGGGTCATCATTCCTCCTCCTGCGGTATTTTTACAGAAGATGGGGTCCGAGGGAAACTTTTGGATATTAGTGCCAGATATTTTTGATGTTTAACGCAGATCCTGTTCCAAACCCCGCATCTACCTGTAAAATTAAACAGGATGAAATGATTGCTGTAGAAAACAATTCACCATCACCTAATAGCAAAGTTTAAATTGAAGACTCGACGAGAGACTCTATGCCTTTTATTTAAAAAATGTGGTTCAACGCTTATCGAACTAGTGATCTTGGAAATACTTTTTGGTTGCTGCATAGCCGTTTCAATGACGATGGTAAAGCCGAAATTGGCCAATTGAAGAGATGTGTAAAGCACGATGAAAATCAGTTTCATTGAAACTTTTTCATCAACACTTCGTTCTCTCAGTCTTGGAGATTTAAAACCAAATTTAAGTCATGCGAGAATACCGTAAAAGACCGGTATAACTTTTTGTCCAGTTAAATGCTTATTGCTAAAAAAATGCAATCTTCTACGAGCGCTACACGCTGTCGCTGTAGGCGCCTAGCAATTGAACCTCAGAGCAGAGATTGAATCCGTTTAAAGGCGCGTGTGGAGTCGGGGAGACCATCAGGAATCGGCGGCATTGATTTTGAACTGTGGTCGGCCATATTTAGTCGGCGGATCAGCAAGTACTCGGATCATTCTTTCTGAATGACCCCTAAGTAACCAACAAGCGTATTCTTAATGCTCTCTTCTCAACAACAGCCCGGCACTAAATTGTAAGTTTTGCAAGTGCTCCGAAGAAAATTGGAAAATGAAAAAAGGGTTTGAAAAAGTCTAAAGACTGGAATGCTGTTAGAAGAACAGTGTATTGACGAATTCAGAAGGAACGTTACAAATCTGGCAACATAGTAAAGGACTTACAGTTCCGTTCTGGATCATAGCCAGGAGCTCGTCAAGTGTCTGGGCGTGGAAAACGTTGGAAGGCGGGACGTCTCTTCCAGCCACTTGGTCCAGTCCGGCTATGCAGGCTTCGTTTGCGAACCAACCGCTGGCCAGTCCTGTAAGGAGTCAGTATACAACGAACATGGCTCGAAGAGGATAAATAAATATAATAGAAATGGCGAATTTGGCGGTATTGCACCTAGCTCTATAATAGGCTGAAACAGTCAGGTAACTTTGTAAACGGTTTTTTAATCTCTCAGTAAAGTGCCGGGTACTCGGGATTGGAAGAGTTGAAATGAGAATGACTGGTCGCAGAAATTTTTAATTCAAATGATCTTTACTAATATCAAAATACATGTTAACTAACCTATTTTCTTCCCTGTGATATTGAATGGGTTAAACCCAGGAAAGGCGAAGAAATAGACCTCGAAAGGTTTCATAAACGGCTTGGAAAATGAGAAAAACTGCTTCCGTTGACGTGTGGCCAGCCATCCGGTGCAGGCGTCGTACCAACCTGCCATAAGTCCTGAAATTATTCCATATATAGACATAATCCAGAGTAAAATTACATTCAAATTCTCAAATTACAATATCTTGTTCAACGATAAACAAAATGTAACTTAACCTAGCCAATTTGAGCAGTATTGTTGTTAGATTCACCAAAACACCTTTTTCAACTTCACTTTATGAGAAGAAAGTAGAATTGAAAACTATGCGTTTAAAGGAACGCTTTATAATCATGTAACTAAAAATCACCCTTACCTATCCCCCCTCGCTGC